GCAACATACGCTATCCAGAACCCATCGGGCGGCCGCGGCATTGTGCGCGCCCGGCTGGTGGGGCGAGAGGTCTGTTGCTTTTGGCTTCCACCGTGGTACCTGTGGGCAATTGGACCCTCGCCTCTGGTAGCAACATACGTTGCCAGAAGCCATCAGGTAGCTGTGGCACTGTCCGCGGTTGACTGGTGGTGCGAGAGGTCTATTGTCGAACCAAACACTGACTATGAGGGACGACTGGGGGCCAGCTGGTGCTAAAAATGATACCACGCCCTAGTGCTTTTCTGTCGTTTGGTGGTGTGAAATCCCTCCGCCAAAGCGACCTAAGACAGTCTCCTACACAATATATTCCTACCAGATAGTGCTGCTACTGTTGGTCATATACACCTACTCGCAACCAAGGAGACTGCTAGCTCTACATATACTGTATAGTACATAAACAACCATTTGCAACACTCGCATGAAGTTGCTGCTATAACCAATCACTTTTTGTTGAAACTGCGCACTGCGTTGACTGCGCCGGCAGGCTTCATTCCCGCCAGCACATGTCATTCGTATGGTAAGTCGCATATTTCAACTTGGATTTCCGGTCAACAATGCGGCACAGTGTAGGTATATATCTTGTTTCACCCAGTGGCACCCAGTGGCACTCAGTGGACGTCTCCACCTTTTAACTGGCGGCCTCTCCCATGAGCTGACATCCACTCTGGTGTGCCACCAACTGAGACGACCTGCGAACGCAGTACCCCCAACTGACTGAGGTTTGCTGTCGTTGGCCTACAAGTGTCATTGATTTGTTGCAAAACAATGACGCTGCCTGATCACTGCTCGCCTTCCCATATAGATTAGAGCACCGACCTTGATACTGATTGAAGTTGACATTGCTGACGCTACCGGGCTGAGACCCCGCTTCATACCTCCCTTACTGAGGATCGCAGTATAGACGAGCAAGCCGAACTATAGGAAGGCCCCGAGCTCTGTCGGGGCATTTGGGCGACTTGTGAGGACTCTAGACGCGAGGTGGCATGACGCCAAGGTTGCCATGTTCGCCCGCCTGTGGAACTAAGTTTGTAAGAGGATGGAGAAGACTCAGTGGTGGATGGCCACCTTATCGTGGCCTCCTCCCACTTGGAGATGACACTACGCATACGCGGAAGGAGATTAACAGACGGTCCATTAGGATGACTATCTGGTCTCTGATTCTGACGGCCGTACCTCACTCCCAGTGGTGGTTAGCCCAACAAAGAATAACTTATCGATCGACAATACTCACCACATGGACAATTTCCGAGCCATATGTGACCCCGATGGCCATGTTTGGACTAGTAAGGGGGGTTGGTCGGTCTCATTCCCGGGATACTTGTAGGATCGGAGTCTGGTTTGTGTTAACTATATAGGTTAGCAGCCAAAATAATTGTATAGTCGTCAATAATAAAAAGTCTCGAAACTGAAAAAGTATAGACATTCTCAATAGAAGTTGCTCAAACCTCAGCCGCTTTCATGGCTTGTAGTATATAGTTAATGAGCTTAGTGCGAAAGTAATCGAATTATTGGTATTCTCGGCCCTAATCGGAATCCATGCAAGCGCTCTGCATATTAAAGTTGTACACAGATATGGCTTCCTTGCTCATTCTGTAGCGCTACCATATTGTGTCAAGACTGGGGGCAATAACAGTTTTGAGGTACCTGCTGGAGGGCTCTAGCAGGAATGTCAAGATCTGTTAGTGAAATTAGTTTACTTGCACTTTCACTATTATGTAAGTAAGTCTTTGATATCTGGTGCGATTATAGATGGCCATCAGCTTAAGCAAACGTTGTTGCCAAATTAAGTGATTTTTTTATTCCATAGTTACCTATTCTTTGACTTTTTGCTTCCTTTTTACCATGTGTGTTCTAAATTTTGAGAATCCTCCAAAAGTCTGCTTAAATTCGAGTGCTTCATCGCTCATATTTAGACTCAAAACAGTATGAGTATTTTTTACTGTGTATATCACTAGTTCAGAGCTATGTGTCTAACTTTAGGTTAGTACTCATTGTTCTCAGCACCTTCGTAATCTGTAAGCATGTCTATTTGGCTTGACAGGTTTTCTCTGAGAGCCAACCCCGTTTTTGACACACAGCCTGCAACCCTCATGCCTGCACACAAAAGTTTTATATGCATGAAATATGAAAAACTTGGGTAAAGTTTTTATGGGGCAGCTGACACCTCAGAAGAAAACAAAAAACATTACTGTAATTTTCAGTGCTCAAATAGTATGTGTGACAACAATTGGGAATTGTTTGAATTTTCTAAATTTTCCCTCGAGAAACTTGAAAAGTGTGACAGAAAATCAGAAAAATCAATAAACACAATCCGTTTGCTCCATAAAACTTTTTGGCACTTGAAGTATATCTGATGTGATTTTGGGCGATTTGACTTCGAAATTGGCGTCTCCATGTGAGTTCAACGGTGTATAAATAAACTTTTTTTTTTTGCAAATTTCTATTCGGACCACTTTAAGTTTTTTTGTTGTCTATTACATCTGGAAAGCATTGGAATTGATCTGTGATGTTTGTAGAAGTGATAGGATAGGTTTTACACCTCGTCTTTCACAATGTGTATATGCAGGTGCATCAATAAATATGCAAGACAGAACACGGTGAGCTGTATCATACACTTGCAGAGTGGCTTGCCTATTTTAACAAGCGTCGTTGTGATTTAAAGATATGTCTGTTTGGTTTAAAGTGTTTAGGTAGGTGCGGCCACCGTTACTGACACTTATATCACGCCTTCAAGTTTGGGATTCTGCACACAAGCACTGCATGTGCATATCATTTATAATTCTTCAATGAGGTCTTTCATCGCGTATATTGAACCTGAGAAAGAAACAAATTACACCACTGTGATTTAAACGGTGCATATACCATTTATAACAGCAAATAAAATTTTTCTGAATTTTCCGGTGAAAAACTAAAAATTGTGACATAAAATCAGGAAAAATTGGTACAAACTTCTAACTTGCTCCATAAAATTCTTTGGCACCAGAAGTATGGTAAATAAATCCCTGAGCAAGTTGACGTTCAATTTGACGTAGTTTCAGCAACGGCACCCATCTTGCCCTACCTGCAGAATTGTTTGTTATATGCATTACCCACAATAAACATGGCGCTACTAACTGTATATCCTGAGTAAATCAAAAATGTTATCACTGCTATATTTTAATTATGCTATACTACTGGCTGTGAAATCTTCTTGAATTTAACTGAGAGAGTGGCATACTTATGACGCTTTTACGTTCGCTCTAGTGTGAATCCTGCATATAATAGAGGCAGTTTCAGGTCGAATCATGGTTCCGGGTTGGTCTCGACTTTACGCGTGTCTTTAGCAACGTTGTAGGTCACTATTATTTCATCTACACAATCGACTATAACTAAGCTTCAAAATTAAGTATGAGGAGAAAGCTAGCTAACATGTTGAATTGATTGAATATAGTAAAACAAAAACTACACGGCTTTCTTCCTTGAATCACACGATGTCCTGGGTAGTTGTAGCCATCAAAACTGAATAGTAAAGTGTCTCCTCCATAGGTGAGCTCGACGGCGAATGCAAAATTAGTATTACCGCCATCGCCCTCGCCGGTGATGAGCTTTTGTTTGCAACGGAACTGCAGAGCTTGTTGCTGGAGGACAAGAGTTTTTTTGCAAGGTCTTATCCAATTACGTACAACTTGATTTGCCCAACCCGTGCTCAAGGCTTGATTTGGGTGTCCAAGAACAAACCGAAAGTGGGGCTAGCTTGGATGGCGTTGCATGTGGCGTATGCTTTACATCAGTAACCAAGAGCTTACCTATCGTGTCTCACGTCAAGTAGATGCCCTTGATCATGAGGCTACCGCTGTAATGGATTTGTTTTGGTATTGCCCCGCCGTTCATGTTCGAGCGGCCTTGTTAGGCGAGGGCCTAGATGCCTCAGCTGTTTGGGTAGGTCTGTTGACTTATCATCAGAAGCTGACATTGTTGAGGTAGTCACAATCAACTTCTCTGACGGCGAGCATTCCCCTTGAGTTACGACTTGCAGTACAAATCCATCCAAATCAGTGATAATGGCCATCAAAAGAATAGCTACGTGTTTATGTAATCAGTACTGAGCAGGCATTTGTTGCAACTCTCGGTGCTGACGAGGCTTCCAATGCATCGATGTCGCCCCCAGTGTCGACGGCAACCGTTGCCGTGCAGATGGTTCCGCTTTTATTCGAAGTCCATCCGAAACCTGATCAAGCACCAGTTGTGTTAGTGGGACTGCTGCCTCTGCTGACTCAAAGATTGTCGTCTACTACCCCTTGGGAACTTCAAGAAGATTCGTCTTCAATCAATAAACTGATGGAGATTGGTGCCATCGGTGGTTCATCGAAGAGAGGATACCTAAGATCAACGACAAATCCTACGCGTGGGAGAAATCTAGTTAAGCACTAGGCAGGCTTTGGAAAGACAGCTTACTAGGCAGGCTATAACTATGGAGAGACATGCGTGGGTTTTGGAAGCACGGTTGCATGCAGGCGGAACGTATAAAGCATGCCAAACCCCAAGAGGGTCGAAGTTGTATGCGTCCCTACGGCACTTTTGTTTCCATGTCACAGGCATATCGGCTAGTCGTGGAATGAGAGTTGTTCGATGTATATTCCATAATAAACCGTTAACTTGCCTCGATAAAATTGGTGATTTCGCACTATCGGAAACACTTTCGACTATCGGCAGCTCTCCCGACACGTGTTAGCGCAGGAATCGACGCCGCACCGAAAATATCACCACTTGCCTCCATCCTATGGACTTTTTGAAGTAAGTTCCCCGATATGCCGCCATTCATACCAATCCCACAAAACTAACATCTCAGACCCAAGCATACCAACCCTCGAGGCATTCCCGAGGCTCCGTTCATAGAGTCGGTCGACTCTGTGATCAAGTCTCCCGATGAGTTCGAGCCGGTGATGCGGGCGTCCCAGGAACGGTTGCAGCAATACAAGTACATGGAGCTCTCCAAACGACAACAGCTTGCCGATTTGAACACCAAGATCCCCGACATTGAGAAGAATCTCGCCGTGATCGCCGAGCTCAAGGCGGCGCAAGCCGAAGACGCCCCCGAGCCCCTCGAGACGAACTACGAGCTCAACGATACCCTCTACTCGCGTGCCGAGATCGATGTCAAGGCGACGAAGCTGGTGTATCTCTGGTTGGGCGCCGACGTGATGTTGGAGTACCCTTTGGACGAGGCGGTGGCGTTGTTGACCGAGAGATTACAGAAGAACCGCGACCAGGCGGCTATGGTGCGCGAGGACTTGGAGTTCTTGAAGGAGAATATCACCACCATGGAGGTGAATACCGCCCGCTTGTACAACTGGGATGTCGAGCGGAGAAAGCAGGAGCGCGCCGCCACCGCTCTGAGCTAAGGGGGGGAGAGATATTCTAAGGGAAAGCACATAGATGATCGTCGTTATTAATAGTACACATATTACCACAGAGAGCCGCCAAACCCGCCGGCGTCGCCTTCCTGTTCCTGGGGCCCGCCGTAGGTGGTGAACCCGCCGTGGTTGGCGGCGTCGTTGGCCTCGACCAGGTCCTTGTTGAGCTCGACACTGATGCCGGCGAGCTTCATCTGCAACACCTCAATCGCCTTGAGGAACACTTCGTCAGGGGGCAACACCCCGACCGTCTCCACGTCCATGTAGAAGTTCTGGGGCACCGCCTTGTAGTCGAAGGGGGCGTCGGGGTTGGGCGCCTCTTCCCACTCGCAGTTTTCCAGCCGCGGCCACTCTTCGTCGGCGTCGACTTCGTACCAGTAGTCGGTGTGTTTCAACTTGTTCCACGGGTCGTATTCAAAGCCAATGGCGGCGCACGGCGACCACTTGGCGTGTTCTTTGGCGATCCCCTTCTTGGCGATACAGGTGATGCGCAACTCTTGGTGCTTGCGCAACTTGCAAATCAACGGCCCCCGGCGGTGGGGATCGCGGATCACGGGGTCGCCAAGCTTGAGCCCGTTGCTGAACTTGGCAAGGTCCAGCGCGTACACGTTCATCGTCGAGTCCAGGTCGCATTTCGCCGCCAACTCGAGTCTCACCAGGCACTTGGCACAGTAGTTGTCACAGGTGCAATCACGCAGGTAGGAGAGGTCGGAGATCCCCTCGGAGGAAAGGGGGATCATCCCCAACCGGTGACTCAAGAACTCGTCGGCCAACACCAGGGTGTTGACGTCGATCTCGACCAAGTCGATGGCGAGCGTCGGCACCTCGGCGAGCATCGTCCGGCGAAGCGAGTTGGCCATCGCGAGGTCCACGTCCTTGAGGATGAAGTTGACGTGGTCGCGGTCCAGCTCCCGGATCGTCACCGTGGGCCCGTCGCTTCTGTCGATGTCCATGGCGTGCCAAAGGTGAAAATCCGCACTCTCACCCCTCACAAAAGATGGATGGAGGTGTCGCTCGCCGGTGGCGAGCGCGCGCCTCCCCAGAGTGCGACTCGTGCGGCTGCCGCGAAAAAATGTGATGATCGAGTGGTGTGTGTGTGACCCTGGGGAAAGGTATACTTTAACTATGGCCGGCGCTATGAACATCAACATCCCCGATTTAAGGTTCGAACAGCTGTTCATGAAACTGCTATGGACCTACGCCGGCAATGCTCCCCAAAAGACCACCGGCCTCACCGACGACGAGCTCAACCTCCTCAGCGAGCAACTTGACCACGACGAGAAAACAGAGGTCGAAGCCGGCCCTCTCTCGCCAATTACTCCCACCGTGGTCATTTTGGCAATTTTAAAGGATCAGATCATCATGCCGTTGCTTCAAGGTTTCCTCTGGACGGGGTTTTTGATCGGAATGCGTCCGTTCTTTGCCCAAGTGGTTCGCTCTGGCCAACGCGCCGGCAGCCAGCTATACAAGCTCATGGGGTTTGACGCCATCCTCGGCCGCCAGCACATTTGAGTCGGTTTTTATGATCTCCGCGTATATACATATATATATTGATAATGAAACGTTTTGATGACTTCCCATATTTGTATTGATGCGATAAAAAGTGTGTTCTCTCCTAACGAGACCGGCTCAGTAGGCTAGTTTAAGGCTTGCGCGTTTGTCAAGCAACGCCGACTTGTCGACGGCGAGTCGTTTTGGGGCCTCAGTTTTGGCTGAGGGGGGCAGATCTAGGCTCGGGGGAAAACCCAAGGTGACGTCATCATGAGACGTCATCAGGTCGTCAAAACTGGTATCGCTCTCCAGCTCCGGGGGCCCAGTAAGCCCGTGAGTCGCTGACAGTGGTTGACCGGCGAATTTTGTCCGTTTTGGCAGTCCTTCCATTTCCACTCGTACCACCCGTTTCGGAGGCCGAAGGACCTCATCATTGTTGTCGTCGTCGTCGTCGCCACCAATGTCAAGTCGTTGCTGCATGTACTCAGCGGTGTACCGTTCAATGGCGGTGTCGTAGTCGCCATTGTCAAACAGCTCGAGGGCAGCGACGAGGCCGCTGACGTCACCGTCTCGGTTAGTGATGATTGCCTCCACTAATTGGTTGGGGAGGTAGTTGTAGTCGTACAACTGGTACACGAGATGGTCGAATAGTATCAGCAGATTGATGAGGATGTCGCGTTCGACGGCATCCTTAAGCTGGGCCACAAGCTTATCAAACACTTGGCGAGCGCCGGCGTTCCACCCTTCATGCTCCTCGAGGCGACTGAGGATGTGACGCACTTGGTTTTCAAGTAGGTGGTCGATCTCAGTGCGGGCGGAATACTGGTGTTCAAGATCAGTGATTTGCGCCTCCATCTTTTGTAAGATCTTCTCACAAAGAGGGAGTACGCGCGGGGCAAACACGTCAGCATCGGCGTGATTTAGGATAGCCACGATAAGCGAGTCAACGTTCACTTTCTGTAAAATAATGAGCTTGCGTTTCGCCAATAAGTAGTACTTTTTCCACTTATCGGCGACGAGACCGTCCACTGACCGACCGAGGCTTTCGATGGCTTCGGTGACGGCCAGTAATGCCTGTGCTTGTTGTTGCGACAGCTTAGCCACCGCTGCCATCACCACCTCGTGTTCACGAGCGCGGAGCTCGTCAATTTCTGCTTTTTGTTCTGTAATCATCTTAAGGTACAGTCCAACGTGGCGGTCCAAATTGTGACGGTTGCGATGGAGCTTGGTCTTAATTTCCTTAGCTCGATCAGCATACTTAAGCGTGTTAAGCGTCTCGTCGTAGTGCTGGCTCAGTGGCAGTACACACACAATCATCACCGTCTTGCAATTGCCTCCCAACAGAAATTTAAGAAGACGAGTAAGTTTCAGGTCACGGTAGGGGACGTGGTAACGCCGACGAGGGTCGCAAAGAGCATTGATGCAATTGCCTAGAGCCAAGAGCAGGCGGTTAATATTGGCACCCTCAGTGAGACGAGCACCCCGATTCTTAGTGGCAGCAGCGCGTTCCAGACCCGCTAAGTCAATGATCAGAAGCGTGGCAAAAGTGTGTTCCTGGCTGACGTCGGCAGTACGGTCGCGTTGGACGACATTGATTTGCAACACCGCATGAGACCGGCTCAGGGTGGCATTGGCGTCGGTGGGCAGTGTTGTACGATTACCGTTACCCACCATGATCAACTTCATCACGTCATCGACATTTTGCGGCACGTGAGCACTAAGATTGGTGACGCTAATCTTATTGGTGGCGTCTTCGCGAAGCACTAATTTCTTCGGGCTGGTGGTGGGGTTCAAAAGGTCACAGATGGTCTCGTTATAGATCTCGAGAAATGAGAGAGTCACTTCAAACACTTTGGTATCTTTAAGCGATTCAATGCGCTGGTAAAGCTCCTGCATCGTCAAGAAGATCACCCCGGGGTCTTGAGGCAGACCACTTATGGTATGAGTCTTGCCACAGCCGGTAGCCCCATAAGCAAACACAGTAGCATTATACCCGTCCAAGATCAGGTCGAGAAGTGGTTGAGTTGTCCCGCGGTACACTTCTTCCTGAGTGGTGTTTTGATCAAATAATCGATCAAACACAAACCGGTGTTCTCGTATACGAGAGTTCAGCCCCTGGACACCAAACGCCTGTTTCTGAATCACATTTAGCGGGTTGGTATCGGGAGGATCGAAAATAAGCATCTTATCGTCGACGACGTCCAAGATCTGGCGGATCTGGCCCGATCTTCTTGACGTAGAAGTAGTGGCTTGATTGACTGGTTTCTGTGAAAATGACCCGGAGGAAAACAACGCCATGTCATCGTCAGGCTCGATAAGCATCGCCAGCTCCTGAGCAGTGAACGGACGGACGCGTACGGCGACGGTGATCGAGCTCAGCTTGGTGGTTTCCATGGCCATACCTGTGGGGGGGGTTGCCGGTGAGACGAGATCGAAACACACACACACACGCTTTACCAAGAAATCAAATTCAAAGAGGCTGGAATGCTACCTGGTTCAGGGTTCTCACAGGGATGGGGGAGCAATTGGGTGTGGGTGGTGCGGCTGGCTTTCGTTTATATTTTTGCCCGATCAAGCTCGGTCGCGTTTCGTGGCTATGATCCTGCAGATAACCGCAGAGAAAAAAGGTGTCAGTGAAGAGACACTCAGCCTTCTCTGGTGGGAGCAGTGTAGACATACAAATGTGGGCGTGTCACGCGAGGTGTACCACCATGAAACCGGTGGTAGCGCTAGTGAAACCACGGCTGACACCTCCTGTATATAATATGCAAACACAAAAAAAAAAAACTGACTACCCTCTAGCAGACTAAATGTTTACACTTTCAAGTCGTCGTTTTCGCTGTCACTTAGGGGCATTCGCGATGTATTTCTATTTATGGCATTAGGCGCCAAGTGATCGCAACGGTGGCTGGCATATAAGCCTGTCACCCACGCGAACATCAACGCGTCGGCCGCTTCGGAAACTGCACCGGGGGTGCAAACGGCACCAGCACCTCGAAGCGGCGGCTTTGTGGTGTATTTCCATAAACGGGAGTTTTCCACCATCAAGTCGACACGACATGTCTCGGTCCACGTGTGCTGGTTTTCCAACTGAAAATCTCTAGTTGCGGGGTGAAGGAACATCCCTTCGACCCTCTCTATTAAACTGTAGGCGCTACATATCCTTTTTAGCCACGGCGGCGTCGACGGCCTCGTCGTCGGTGTCGTCCTCGTCGGAGCGGACGTCCTCGGCGCCCGACCCCGTGACTACTTTGTAGGCGACCTTGGCGATCATGAACATCCAGATCAAGGTGATGAGCTGCAACCCGCCCAACATGCCGAGGAACATGTTGACGATGCGGGTGTTCCAGCACCGCTTTTGCCCCATCCCCGCGACACACTCCGCCAGCGTCATCAACGACACCGCTTTCGTCTTCGCGTGCCAGAAGAGGTAGTTGTACAAGCCGTGGCGCAACGTCACCCACAGGACGAGAAACACGATGAACATGGCGTCACAAGCCACCCGATGACCGGCATACTTGAGCAACTTCGCCGCCGCCAAAAACACGTCGACCAGGTCCATGATCATGAGCACAAGGTTCCCGATGCGGGTGAAGTAGTAGTAGTACAGGGTGACGATCAACGCCACCGTGATGATGTGGTGGCTGAGCATCTGCCAGTGGTCTTTGCGCGGGGCCTCAATGTGGAGGACAAAGATCTGCTGGATCCAGAACCCCATCAGCATCAAGTAGTAGATCTTGAAGTACTTGGTCATGTGGTAGTGGGGCCACCCCCGGTAGATGTTGTCGACGTTCATGAAGTAAGGTGAGTGCCAGTAGATGATGGCGCCGAACACAAACGACGCTAAGTAGTAGATGAAGCACCACCCCTGTTCGGCGAACCGCACCCGCGCCTTCTTCAGCCGGATGCCCAACTTTTGCGCCATGGGGGCCAAGATGTATTGCATGGTGTAGCTGCGCAAGAAGGTGAGGGTGATCACCCAGTTGATCACGTAGTAGACGTCCTCGAGGCCGATGTCGTAGTATTTGGTCTCGTCGACGGGGTACTGCAAGTGGATGAACTTAGACGTCACCGGGGTGAACGGCGGGTAGCACACATGGACGACGTAAAGAAGCAAAAGTAAGGTGCGCGATATCCGGATCTGGTTCCGCTCCACCTGCGCTAAGAACAGGTTGTGGTAGTTTGCCGTTGCCGTCTCCGCCATGGCGTGGTTCCTTCGCGACAGGTTGGCAAGAAGCGTTTTTTTTTCGCTAGCCCTCACACCCGCACCCCGTCGCACCTTACCAGCGAAGGGGCTTTCGGAGTTATCACGCCTGCCACGCGGGTAGGGGCCTCGATCAGGCAATTGTCGCCACGAGGCTCAGCGACTTTTGCGGGGTGCCACGACACTAAGCTACGGCGCCAGCGTGACCACACCTCCACCAATGGGGAAGGCAAAAGTGCGTTTAAGCCCCGTCGCCCTCACCCAGTGGCCCAGGGGGTCGCGGGGCAGTGCTAAGTTTGGGGCGAAAAAACCGCCCCGCGGGTGGGGTGTGGCCCGAGGCTTGCGAAGGGCCACCCACCCGTATCGAGCCAAGGTTGAGAGCGCGTGCTTTCGATGATGCGAAAAACGGCAATTTGCCCGTTGGAGGGTCGTAAAAAGGCCACAAACGCCGGAGGTGGAAAAAGCAAAGTTAATATCTAAATACCCAGAGTATTGCGATGACTAATCGCATCAGCGTTGCAAAAGCATAAGCTGCAACGCCTTCTTGATCGTGTTCTCGTTGTAGCGATTCCACATCACGTACAAATTGACCATGTCCTGCATCGCCTCGACCACCTCGTCCAAATTGATGTGTGAGTGGGTCAAAAAGTTCATGAACCGGTTGATCTTGACGATCTCGTCGTCGCCGTTCATCGTATTTAGGTCTTTCGCCGCCAGCATGCCCCCACCGCCCTGGGCGCCGGGGTTCACAAGGGTCATAAGGTCGTCAATGTGCATGTTGGCCTCCGCCAGCGGTCCCAGCACTGTCGTCGCCCCACCGCCAGGGTTCAGTGATGCGGTGAGCCCCGTCAGATCACTGCTGGCGCCATTCAGGCCGAGGTTAGTGCCGCCTCCTCGCAATTGGGCCATATTCTTTTTAAGCACAAAGGTGATGTAGATAGCAGCGGCGGCGACAATGTGGGGCGGCATGAACAACGGGAGATCGGTGATGTAGCTGTCATTGATGAGCGACCACGCGTTCTGGAGCTCGTCGTCGGTAAGCCGGAAGTTGTAGATGGCGGTGTTCTGGTGTAAGAAATCCCGAATCTGGATCAACGAGTTATATGGGTGGTGTAAATAGAGGTAGGAGTCCATTTCCTCCACCAAATAGAACTCAAACTCCGCTAATCGGGTGACATCGTGGGGGATATACTCTGGCCACAAATTGCGGGCCTCCAGCAAGATAAGCCGAATGTGCTGGGGACACTCCTCCACTTTGCACGCCACGTAGACACACGTCATCACCAATAGATAGACGTTGATCTCCTTCACCAGCACCCGGGTCAAAAACCTCAGCAAGTACACTTCGGCGGTGGCGAGTGCCACCTGGCGGATGTTGAGCCGCCGGCCGAGCCTCACCAATAACGTGTGGAGGTAGATCCTCATGTTGAGGTCGTAGTGGACGTTGGCGTAGTCCTTGATGAGCCCGTTCTGGATCATCTTCTTCTCGAGGAGGAGCACTTTGCGCCGAGCCTCCATGAGCTGGTGGCGGGTCATCTGCCATTTCAGGCGTTGGCTCAGAGCCCAGTAGTCAGCCGACATCAAGTAGTAGGCTTAAAGTTTTCGGTAATTAATGCCGCCAGTGATGTAATTGGGGAATCCTCTCTACCGCAAGATGTGAGCGAGCCGCACATAGTAGGGGGGAACAAGCTCAACGGCACTGACCCGCTAACCAGCTGCTTTATGCTAACTCTAATCAACTACTTAAATTAACGAATCAAACTATTTTCAGGGACATCATTTAATTCTGTTTCAAATTAATGTGATTCAAAAAAACTACTGTCTCCTAACTAGTACTCACTCCTCTCTAAGCCTGGTGCTGATAACGCCAGGCAGCGATCGGGCCCCGCATTTATTGCCTGAAATAAGATCTCGTGTCGTCTCGTCCACCCCAGAATCACTAGACTCCATTCGACAATGATTTTACCCCTATCTCTGCTAGTTTTGTTGTCGACCCAGTTGTTGGGTCTCGCTTCCTTAACCGTCGCACCAATCACGCCCACCCCGCCGCCATGAAGTCGTCGAAGAAGTTCCACACCAGCAACCCGGAACCGGCGCTGGCGATCGACCGCTCCGTTCCTGACATCCCTGCGGCCCAATTGAGCGATGAAGACCGCTACTTCAGAGCCCACAAGCCCCCGCAGTACTTGGACGAGATCGCGGGGTTGGTACAAGAGTTTGTCGATTTCCACGCCGAACTGGGCAAACCCGTCGTGCTTGTCACTTCGGGAGGGACTACGGTACCTTTGGAAAACAACACCGTTCGGTTTATCGACAATTTCAGTGCTGGGACTCGCGGGGCGACGTCGGCAGAATACTTCTTGGAGGCCGGGTACGCGGTGGTGTTTTTGCACCGGGAATTCAGTTTGTTACCTTATTCCCGTCACTACAGCCACACCACTAATTGCTTTTTGGACTACATGACCGAGATTGACGGCAAAATTGAGATCAACCCCGACTACGCCGCCGATATGCTCAAAGTACTCCGCAAATACAACCAGGCCCGCGAGTCTCGCCTGCTCTTGTTAATTCCCTACACTACCGTCAACCAGTACTTGTACACGCTTAAAGCAGTGGCAGAAATCATGCAAAAGTTGGAAGCTAAAGCGTTGTTCTACCTCGCGGCCGCGGTGCTGGACTTCTTCTTGCCGCTGCTGAGGATGCCCCAACACAAAATCCAGTCTCGTGACCAAGAAGGCGGTAAGTTAGTGGTGAATTTAGAACAGGTGCCCAAGTTTTTGTCACGGCTTGTGGAGAATTGGGCTCCCGGGGCCATGATCGTGTCGTTCAAATTAGAAACCGACGAGCTGATTTTGTTATCTAAAGCTAAGCTGGCGTTAGACAAGTACCAGCACCAGTTGGTCATCGGCAACTTATTACAAACCCGTAAGCGGGAGGTGGTGTTTGTCACCCCCGACGGCGAAACTAAGTGGGTGAAATTATCCGCCGAGGACGCCGCCGCCGACAAGGAGATCGAGGCCCTCATCATCCCCGAGGTGGTGCGCTACCACCAAGCGTGGGTGCGCCAACACTCATCCTAAAAGAAAAAGAACACAAGCCTAAACCCATGTATATTTATCATTATAAAGAAGTTAGAACCGCCGCCGTTTGCGTTGCGCGTCCTTGATGCTTTTGCGTTTCGCCTCGAGCTCGCCGTGTTTCCGCTCCAAGTACTTTTGCGTCTTCTCGTCGTGGAGCATTTCTTGCGCAAGCGTGGTCCCGCGCTGCTTACGCGTAAGCTTATTGTAGTAGCTGGTATTGCCCTCGATGATCGTCCCCATCTGGAACTGCTTTGGTATCTCCCACTTCTCCTTCTTGTAGAATCGTTTCGGGTCGAGCGCCGCCCGGTTCTTGATGATTAACAAGTCCCGCTTGATGTCAGCCGTCATCTCCGGTGTCTTCATGTTGAACCACTTGGCTTCGTCCAATTTCTCCTGGCTCACCTTGACTTTAGGCGGCACCAACGGGTCGTTGAGCGTCACCACATCTTGCTTCTTCGCGGGCGCCTCGAGCTCGGCCTCAATCTTGGGGAGATCCAACACCGCCTTCTTTACCTGGTCAATATCTTTGCCATCAACTTTGGTAGCTGGGGTGGTCTCCTGGCGAAGTTCGGCAAAGAGATCCAGCAAGCTCATCGCTACGGAAAATCGGTGCTGCATAAAATGTCTTATCGGTGCGCACTAAGAGACACCACTACCACCATCACCGTGCGGCTATGGATGCAAGAAACAGTGAAACAACTTCTCTTTCTATATTTTGTGAAAGAAGTATAGACATGGCTTGTATCACTGAAAAAGTTTCGTTAAACTTTGCTTCGATTTACTTCGTCATATTTACGCAAATGGCTTACTTTCATGAATCATTAATAAGTGAGCTTATCAACGAATCTGGTTCGAACACTGTCTTAGAATCCATTTCAGATAATCATACTAAATTGTCATTTTGTCTGACGTTCATTAAACATCTAATTACAGTGGTCCTTATTGATTAAATTGGTACTTCGATTCAAATTTTAAAAGTAGCAAGTTCTTTTTTCGGTCACTTTCGCGACTCTATTAGGCTGTCGCCATCGTTAAAGTAAAGGGTGCGATCGCAGCAAGCAAAATGACCTTTGTGTCTATGCCGCTTTCCCATCATATTAGGATTCACTGATTGGTTGCTTACATGAGTTCTAATTGTTACACGTCTATTAGCTTAATTGATTATACAATTTCCGTGTTGGTGAGTGAAAGAATCACCTAAAATGTCAATGCCAGTAAAAACAGCCATATGTTAACAATGTCACGAGATGTTAACGAAATAAAACAATACTTTCGAGTTCAGTTAAAATTAAACCGAAACAAATACCACACCAGCGGATGGTCATGGCAATGCCAGAAAATTATCATAAAAGCTTCACTGAAGCTGTGCGATTGGTATCATGAGGATTGAAGGATGAGCAAGTTTAAGCCCAAGCCTTAAGGGGGGTAGTGACGTACACAGTCGAAGCGACAGTCACAGTAGTTTCAGCACCAGGAACCGTGATTGTAACACGCTCGCCAGGAACGGTCACAGTTTCCGGAGTCGGAGCACACGGGCAGTATGACAGCGACTCAGTGGGGGGAGGTAAGGTACCCGACGACCCAGTTTCAGAGGGACCAGTGGGAGGAGGAGTCGACGACGATTCAGTACCAGTGGGACCAGTGGGGGGAGGAGTTGACGACGATTCAGTACCAGAGGGACCAGTGGGAGGAGGAGTCGACGACGATTCAGTGCCAGAGGGAGGAGGCACAGACCCCGACTCAGTGGGACCAGTGGGAGTCCCAGTGGTGGACGTGGTGGTCGTAGTCGAAGTCGTGGTAGTGGTCTTGGTAGTAGTGAAGCAAGAACCAGTGGGAATGGTTCCGGTAGGACCAGTGGGGGGAGGCGAAGTCAGCTCAAGACCAGTGGGAGGAGGAGTCGACGACGATTCAGTGCCAGAGGGAGGAGGCACAGACCCCGACTCAGTGGGACCAGTGGGACCAGTGGGGGGAGGAGTCGACGACGATTCAGTACCAGAGGGACCAGTGGGAGGAGGAGTCGACGACGATTCAGTGCCAGAGGGACCAGTGGGAGGAGGAGTCGACGACGATTCAGTGGGACCAGTGGGACCAGTGGGGGGAGGAGTCGACGACGATTCAGTGGGACCAGTGGGACCAGTGGGGGGAGGAGTCGACGACGATTCTGAAGGAGGAGGCTTCGACGAGGTGGTAGTGCTGGTCAAAGGAGGAGGCACGATGGTGGTAGTGGAAGTTTCACAAGGAGGAACACCCGGGGTAGTGGTCGTGCTGGTCAAAGGAGGAGGAACGATAGTGGTGGTGGTAGTTTCACAAGGAGGAACCGAGGGCGGCGGCGTAGAGCTGCTCTGAGGAGGAGGAGTGCTGCTGCTCTTAGGGGGAGGAATCGTGCTGCTGCTCTTAGGAGGAGGAGTGGAGCTGGATTTGGGGCCACACTCACACGGCCAGCAGTATTGCGGGAAGTTAAACTTAGGCACGGTACACTTCAGGAGCAAGTCCTTAATAAAACGAAGGTCTCTCTTTTCCTCAGCAGTGAATTCACCAAATGTGCCGTCCTCTCTCTTCTTGTTTTGAGCAACCTGTTGGTCCAAGATTTGAGTGGGGTCATCAACGGCTTCAAGACCAGCCGAAGTGGCGGCGTCGATACCGTAAACGATGGCCTCACCAAACTTAGTTCTGATTTGTGTGCAAATGTCCGATGTATCCCACTTGAACCCAATCTTAATTTGGAAGTTAGAAGGAATGCAACAAAGGTCAGGCTTAGGACGGTCAGGCTTACAGAGGAACGAGGTTGACCACTTACACCAGTTGTCGACGTTCCAGTTGACACCCTTGATAAGAGTCACGTCACGGGCACCGGTGTTGGAAATGACACAGCTGTCAATCTTCGAACCGATCGAGGCTTGCAAATCATCGGCGGAGTCGGCTTGGTAGTTAACAACCACCCGATAGAGGTCATCATCGCCAGCGGCTTTGTCAACATTGGACACAACGAACCCAGCCTTGGGGACACCAGCTTGGGCGACACCACCTGCCAGGTCTTCAGGGATATCGTCACGCTTGTACAACGCCGTTTTGGCGCGAGAGTCAGCGTAGACAGTCTGTTTGGTACAGGTGTAGTCAGGCTGTTTGAAACACCCGTTGAAGTACAGACCTCCGCCAAAGATGGCGAAGGTAGCCATTGCGGGCTGCACAATCGCAAGCAACAATGTCAACTGGGCAATCCCAATTGAGTCAAGCTTCATTGCTACTAGACAACAGTACTTTTTTGCCTGGGAAACTTCCACTTTATTTATTCTTGAACCGCCGTCCCAATTTGATGAAGATTGATACAAACGGGACAATTTTTTTCCTGCAATCATGCGCCCGGCCGCATATGCCCCTGTGCGTTTTACCGCGGGGCGCTGACCTGCCGTTGATAAGCCTAGTCGAAACGGTAGACAATACTAGCCGACAGGGGTGCCTCTGCGAATCAGCTCGTCTCCAAGTTTGTGGCTCCCATCATCTTAGTACCCCAGAATGTGATTGCCCCATTTGAAACCAAGTTCGCCTTGGCATGCTTGAGGGAGTTTCGAAACGTGTGTCAGTATCTCAGACGATGCATGCATCGCCGCAATCTTCCGCTCGTTCACTTAGAGAAAAAGACCCTGTTGTCAATAGCACTGTTCACCAACGGACTGAGCTCTTGATAGCTTCGAACCAAACTGTTTGTACTTTCGTTCGTATTTGCTCAGCAACTGCCAGAGTTGTCGCCGTCGGCGGTTTCCCAATTGAGGTTATTTTTTTCCGGAAGATCCTGGACGTCGCGGTTGAGAAAATAAAGTAGAGGGCTTAAACAAAATAGACACCATAGAGCTCGGTTCAGCACGACTAGATTCGTTATTCTAAAACATCGGACCACTGATGGCTTCGAACACGTATGCCACTTTAGCCACCGATGAAATTAGCGACCATTTGCACACCGTCGACAATCATAGCGAGATGCTAAAGGGGCGTCAATCAAAGCGCCCTCATGATGCAAAAACACAATGCTTGACGTCGCGGGCGGTTGAGGCCTGCTGTGCTCAGCCGGTAGACTTTTTACCTTAGTTTGGTCGAGTGAGGCGGCGGCTTACGTCAGCGTTCGCCTAGTTAGGGGTGCGTCGCCACCCAATTTGGAAAGGCTGCGTCTTTTTTCATTGAGGCTTGACCTTACCAACGTTCCATCATCACGAATCGATGGCTCCCAGTATATCGGCTAAACGCCGGAAGATGGCGATGGCGCCAGTAATATGGATCAACTTTTGGCCTTATAACCCCCCTATCAGTGACAGTATTAAATTCACTCCCGTTGGATTGCCACCGTCCTCAACCGCCACTTCGCAATTTTTGCGGACCCCCTCCGCTGTCTCCGCTGCCTCCACTACCACCTGCATTTCGGTTACGTGTCGCTCAAAACGGACTAGGTGATCTCGAAGAAGTGTGCACAAACCGCAACCATAGCTCAAGCCCCCTGAAATTTGTAGACGATGATAGTTTTCTCTTCCCCACCAGATGCCAGTATCGACCAAATGGACGTTGTCGGGGTTGTTGGTGTGGTGTGCCGTGTTGGCAGGAATGTATCTGTGGTGGTTGGTTCAAGACACCGAAGCCATCACCAAACACGAGTTTGACGCCGCCAGACGGGTCGCCGGTACTCGTGATGGCCTATTGGGGTTGTTGGTGGCCAATGACCTGACTGCACCCAACATTATTGTCCATCCGTATCCCCAGATTTTCGTCAACCACTCGTCGTCGGCAGTGTTAAGCCAGAACTTAAATTCTCGATGCAATCTATACTTTTCCCGTTGGCGCCAACCACCGATGACCAGTGACGAAGCGTGGGTATTTGATTCGTTTTCAGACTTTAAGCGTAACGAAAGGGTGAAACAATTGTATCCTCACGCCGACGCCGATGATTCAAACTATGCTTACCTCGACTTTGCTCAAAGGCTTTATGGTGATGCCATCAAAGATCGTCAACTTCAGGAAGAGTCATTGGCGGAGCTGTTGAGTAGCATCCGTGTATACCACCAATGTTATTTGCGACAAAATGGGCACTTCCTCCACCGCCAACAACGGCGAATTGCCAAGATCAAAGACCGTATTGACCTTGGCACCGATGATATGCCCAAGTATTCCCAATTAAAGTTGGAGCTGGCGATATTCCCGTGGCTCACCGGGGTTATTCCTCAGTCAGCTAATGCGAAGGTGATACCCTCAAATTCGAGAATGCGTGTGGATAAACCCGACCTGAAGTTAGCTCAAGTCATGGGTCTGTGGTCAGGTAAAGGCATTGTTATATTGGATGATGACAAAACTGACGCCCTCATCTCTCATATTCGACAACTGTTTGACCTTCCCATTCAGGTGATCACCACCGGTAAAAACGCGAACGCGTATGGGCCCACCATCGAGACCATCTATGTTGGCGATAGCTACCAAGATTTGGAACTACTGCCGCTGGTAGCAGCGTTTTTCTCTACTTTCGCTCAAGTAACGTTGATTACCTCCTCTGATGTTTCGATTGACGCCCTCTCTGACTTCCACCTTGAAGGTGAGGTAGAGGCTGCGACTATAGGTAGACTTTGGAGTCAATTACGCCCTTCTCGTTACGATGAGGTGATATTTGGTTTAGAAGCTCGTGCCCTTCCGTTGGCTAAGACTCAGCTGCTGGTCATACACATCGACAAACACAAGTACTTGGAGGTGTTGCTACTTCTGATTGAACTTCAACGACAACCCGCTACGCGGCTGCTTGTTGCTGGAAACGAAATGTGGTGGGGCCATCTTGTTAGCAGTGTATAATGTTTTATGAAATTTAATGAAGTTGCAAATTTTAGGTTTTTGCCATTAAATGACACACTTCGATTTATCTGTCAATTGATGAGTTCACTACCCGCGACAAAAAAATATAATCGGACAAGTTCGAACCTTGGTGGTACCATTTGAAGTCGAATTAAATTGCGAAGGCTTGGTAAGAGTATTCAACCACTACGACTGACAACGAAAAACCTACAACCACGTTTCCCACCTCGTCCCCAAGTGGAAAGTGATTTTGCGAGTCATCGTCAGCAGGTACCCACCCGTTTCCTCGCCATTTCCTTCCACATGTAGACGGGGCCATCTTCCCTTGCATATCCGAATACTCCTTCGCACAGGGCCATCTCGGCGACCTGCACACGGGCGCACAAGCGAAAGTCTAGATGGGCTAGGATTTCACCCGATTGGGATTGTACTCTTGCTGCATACCAAAAATAGATGTGGAACCAAACATCGCCCAAAACATAAACAACGCCAACCGTAGCCACCCCTTGTAGGGGCGGTTGTCGTCAGCAGACACCTGCTGCGGTGGCGTGTTGTGGACGTACTTGCCAGTGGGACACAATCACAAAGTACTCACAGAAGCACTCCTCAAGCACACACAAAGCGACGTGTGGATCACCATCAACATCGACGTGCGCCCCTGTAATCCACAGCAACTACCCCTCGTACCCGATTCAATCGGACTTTTTCCACAAACGCATCGAGCCCTACCATCAATACCCTTTATTGCTCGCAGCGTCGCTCTCGGCAAGGTGTTGCCCAGGAATTCGTATGGGCTGCAGCATCAGAAGTTGGGCGATTTTGGCGTCGCGGTCAGCCACAACCGCCTGGAATTTGCGAACCGCCGCCTGTAATTCCTCAATTCGCTTTTCGTACTGATTAAGGTACTCAAAGATGGTTTTGCGCACTTCCTCCTTGGCCGCCTCAACCTTAGCGGTCTCACTTGACTGAGCTTCCAGAAGCTCTTTCTCAAGCTGTTTCACTCTCGCTTCAAGCTCACCCTGCTGCTGTAGTAACTGCAGATTCTCGTTTTTAACGGTGTCTAACTCCTCAAGCCAACTAGATTCGTCCTGCTGCAACTCTTTTGGTCCAGGCACCAGCGTCGTTTGCAGCTGCTGTGGAATTTCCGCGACCCCTTGCAATTCCTCTAGACGGTCGTTAAGACGCTCGATGGTTGCGTTTTTTTGCGGAATGTCCTCCTCACAAAGCTTTTTGTACGAGGTTTGGACACTGTCGAGTTTGTCGTGGGCATCCTGGAGTTCTTGTTTGAGAGTGGAATTGTCTGTTTGTAGCAGCTGGAGGCGAGACACTATCTCCGTCACATCCACAGTTAATTTAGGATCAGATGATGATGGGCTTGATGGGGACATTGCTTTGGCCACCACGGGGGTAATCTTAATAGGGATCTCGTTCGGCTGCTTGCGTGCTTCCGCTAGTTTAGTATCGGCGATTTGTTTAAGGTACTTCACGAATGAAAGCTGGTTACGCACCAATAGGAGTTCTTGTAAACGGTAATCACTTTTCTCTGAATCTCCTAGGACAACGGAAGTATCGGGTGTGGCAGGAACGGTTGTACTACCAGTGAATATTTTCTCATGATCTTCGAACATGGTGTCATCTGCGGCACTCTTAATTGGTTCAAGTGTGGGCATCAGATGTTGTTGGGCTTCGGGAAACCAATGACATAGTGAGAAACAGGTGGCAGCAATATCCTTATCTTTGACCCAAGCCCACGGCTTCACGCTTCCATCAACTAACTGGGGATGGACAACCATATGGGTTGCCAATTGTTCGAGCCAGGCCAAGTCTGGTGATCGCGTTAGCTGATACGCCAATTCCTGTTTGATGGGACCAACGTCACCACCAGCTACTGCTAAGAACTTGCGAGGGTTCAAGCCATACAACATTGTGGCAAGATAAGCCGTGGCATCACCGCTGTCTCCCTCAATCATATCAGCAGCAGCGATGAGCCATTGAGTACGTTTCTCCACTAATTTAGCGTAGTCATTGACGAATTGTCCCCAATTGATCCGTTTCACCACACTCGCCATGATCCGATTCCAATCCTTAGTATCAGTAACAAAAGGTATCGCTTTAGTGACAATTTGCAGCACGCCATCCACCACTGCCTTCGAGAGATCAGCTTCGAGCAGACATAAAAGCGCAGACCAGAGAGGGTCATGGACTACGATGGAAGGTTCAAGCGCACTGATCAACAGCACTAGCCCGTAGCGCAGATTCACCACTCTAAACTCGGTAGACAACACCGATAATAAATCGCCATTATCTGGTTGAAGACCAACAACCCCTTGGAGCCAGGTGATGCATTGATCCTTGATGACCCCACGCTCGTCTTCCAAATAGACTTTAAGGATGTTGGTGATCACCATCTTAGCCACACTATGACGAAGCTTTAACAACTCGGGATCAGGGGTGGGCAGAATGACCACTAGTTTAGCAAGAAACTCCTTGGCCCGCTTGATAAATCGTAAATCGACGCCAGTGTCAAATGCCGGCTTAATATACAACTCCACCCATTTCTGGGTGGCCTTGACCGAGAACACGCGACATAGCGTCCCCAACACCTCGATAAACCTGAGTTCAAGTGAATCGTCGCCCGCGACGTATTCGTTGTAGCACTTCAGCAACTCGTTATTGATATCAAACGACATCGTCGCTATGAGGTTCATGGTGTTGTGCTTGGCGTGGAACTGCTCCACCACCTCGTAGAACTCCGATTCCTGGAGGGCTCGACTGAAGTAGCCATCAAGAGCACGTATGAGGGTTCGAGAACTCATTTTAGAAGCATGTAGGCGTCAATTGTGGTGAGGCTTGTAGGGGTGTATGGGTGTACCGTGCGATCGCAATCACCAGGGACTAGACGGTGTAAGGTGAGGTATGGCAAAAAGGAGTAACGCTATATCAGGCGGCTTTGGTCAGGAATCAGCTATCAATGGTGAAGAAGGCCAAGACTAAAAGTCAGATTGATCTACTCGATATGACATTGGGTGATATCTAGTGACCAACAACGCGTCTCACTCCCCGAACTTCAACACGTCTACCATTTAAACGACAAAGTGCCAATGAATATCAGACAATGAATCCAGGTTATGAGAAGAAGTCCGAGCAATATTGCCGATGGCCCATCAGAGGAAACAATAGTATTGTCAGTGTTTACTATGCGTCTCCCTCTTACCGATGATCTCTACAAATGAGGATGCTGCCCAACACATTATCGGGTTAGCAATTCCATCATCATTGACCTCGAGTAACTACTCAATTTCTCAATTCTCTCCTCCATTTCCCTTCCCTTCCTCTACCTTTCCACGACGTCTTCACCAGCGGCGGCCCCACCATATACTCCAGCGCGCATGTCCCTCGACCACGACGATGATCTCCTCAACACGCTCAGCTCGTCGAGCCGGTACGCGAACCAGCTGAAGCTCGAGCTGAAGCTTGAGGCCGAGCTTGCCCAGCTCGAACAGCAGCGGGCCGAGATCGCCCGGCGCCAGCAGATGGAGTACCTTGGCGGCGTCATCTCCGACAACGCCACCACCCCGGTGTTTGTCCGCAACGTCCAGATCACCAACGGCCAGGCGTACCGTCTGCTGTTCCTCCAGTCACAATTCAACCAGTTTACCAACAAACAGCCATTGACGTTGGCCGAATTAATGAGGGGACTCGATCGCACCTGTCGCCAGTTCCAGAAGTTGGGGATGGTCGACCAGTGCGTGGTGCAGTTGCATCAGGTGAACGGCCGTCAGCTTAGCGTGGTCCCCGTGTTCAATACTGTACCTATCAAGCGGTTTTTCGCCAAGACAGGGACCAATATCGGTAATGGTGAGGGTGATGGCTACATCCAGTTCCAGCTCCGAAACTTGTTTGGTGGCGGCGAACACTTAGCCTTTGACGCCGTCACTGGCACCAAGACCAACTCGCTGTACTTGCTCAACTACCGCATGCCCATTGCCAACAATGGCGACCACATGTTCGACATCCTGGCCTACTCCAACTCGCGCCAGCACGATTGGTTTGGCTCCAACGTCTACAACCGGGGTATAACCACCAAGATCTACTCACAGTACGACAAAGAGGTGTCTCCGATCAACCACGACCTCTCGCTCGAGACGTGTTTCCGCACCCTCGACAATCTCAGTCTGAAGTCGCTGGACGTGATTTTGCAACTGGGGGTCCACTTGAAGACACTGTTGCTCTATAACGCCGTCTACGATACCCGCGACAACGCCCACCTCCCCTTCCGCGGTCAGTACGCCCGGTTAGGGCTTGAACATAACGGGTTCACCTCGCTTGTCAAGTTCCCATACTCGAAGCTCGTGGCGGAAACGCAGCTGGCCCACTCCTTGGGTCACCACCAGCTTATATTCACCAATAAGGCTGGGGTCATTGTGCCTCACTCCAAGTATGGTACCCTGATCATGGACCGGTTTTTCATCGGTGGTCCCAACGACGTGCGGGCGTTTTTACTTAATGGGCTTGGACCTAAACAGTTTACCAGTGCTGTAGGCGGTAACACCTTTTTCAATGGTGGGGTGCTGCTTGTCTCACCGATCCCTTGGCTCAAAGACGCTGAGCAAAGTGGATTCCGTCTTCACTCATTTATCAACTACGGCAAGCTTGTGGCCACTACTGACGTCCACCAGCTATTGACTAAAGGGTACCTGTCCAGTATAGGGGTCGGGATCCTTTTCAACCACCCGATGGCGCGGTTTGAGCTCAACTTCGTGCTCCCAGTGACGGCGCACCAGCGTGATCTTGAGCGGAAGGGGTTACAGTGGGGGATTGGCGTGAGTTTCTTGTAATTAATTATGATCGAATGAACACTTTATATAGCTAGTTGTCCTGAGGGTACTTGAGCCCCAGCGCCTTACGGATCTCGTCCATCGTCTTCATTACCAATAACGTTTCCGCGTGAGGCATCACCAGCGATTCTAAGCGACCAGCCTTAATGTCATCAGCCACCGCGTTAGCCTCATAAATGAACCCTTGGAACCCCGATTTATCTTCCCACACGTAGGGTTCACGACCATCGCGGTAGTGGACAACAAACTTCTCGGGAGCAGCAGGGTTTTTAGCAAAGATCTCAATGTGACCCTTACTACCTTCAAGACGAGCAAATGGAGAGGGTCCATCAGAAAGCTCCGATGACGAAAGGATGCCCTGACCACCGTTTTGGTATTGGACGATAAATGCGGCTTTATGGTCAACCCCGTCTTCAGGGTCAAGGTAGAGACTCAGCACCACTTTGAAGGGAGTGTGTTTGTCACCCACTTGCTTATCGAGTAAGAGGCGAGCCCAGGTTAACGAATAAATGCCAATATCGAGAAGGGAACCGGCACCCAATTTGATGTCACGAACACGACTCAGGGTGGGCAAGTCAGCGACGTCACCGTTATAAGCGAAATCAGAAAACAACCGGTTGACGGTACCAATGGCTTGTTGGTCAAACACAAGCTTTTTAAGTTCTTGTACGGCGGGGAAGAACCGTGTCCACACGCCTTCCATGAGGAACTTACCCTTTTCCTTAGCCAATTGCGTAAGCTCAGCGGCATCCTTCTCATTGACGGTGATTGGCTTTTCACAGAGAACGTGTTTCCCTGCTTCCAACGCCTTGATCACTTGCTCCTTGTGGAACACGTGAGGGGTGGCCACGTACACCACGTCCACGTCAGGGTTGGCGTAGAGATCATCGTACGACTCCACTTTGGCGACCACGTCGTCGTTGCCCTTGCCGGAAATGCCATTGGCCTCGATAAACTTGGCTCCCCGAGCAGCGTCCAGCGACCCCACCGACACAACTCGGTGCTTCCATTGAGGGGAAGAAGTCAAGTTGCTCTTCACCAAGTCACGAGTGAATTGCCCGGCGATGTTTCCAGCACCCAAAATACCCCAGTTTAAGCTCATTGATAGAATGTGAGGGTCAGGGGGGTAAGGTGAGAAGAGGTCGCCTATATATGTGGTGGGGGTTGCATTGCGTGTCGGTGCAACGTTGCACTGCGCGGTGACGGGGAGTGCCCAGCGGCAGCGACAAAAGCCTCAATCGGTCTCAACGTAGCTAACCACAGAACCCAAACCTCATCATCAGGGTCGTTCACGAGAATTATGCTGCGATTGTTACGGTGACCCTACCATAGGTCACGAACAGAGATACCCTATATCCCCCACTATCGCCAGGGCAACTCACGTGCCCCTCCACAATGGGTTATGACCCCGATTTTAGTGATCGCGCTGGTTATCTAGCAACAGGGCATGTTGGATCGGCTACCGGGGGAGATCCTCGACGAGATTGTCGACCACCTCCTCACTCCACGGCTGATCCCCGCCTACACGTTCCGGCTCAATTCGTCCCAGCCCGGATGGCCCGCGGTTCTAGCACTTCTGCTGACTCTGGTGGGGTTGCGCCAGGCACTTGCTCCCCGGCTCTTTCGCTTCCTCCTGCTTGTGAGGACCAACCAGATCGATACCCTACTCCAGACGACGAAAGGAAGTGAACAGTATAGTGATCATCTCACTTACGACCGCCAATTCCTCAGTGAGGTGCTCCAACGCAATGTTGAAGAGTGCCGCTACGCCGACCGGGCCCGCACCAGTTTCCGAGTGCCGGAAGCCGCCAGCAGGTACGAGAAGTTCAGCATAAACTTGCTGATAACCACATTGGAATGTGACAAGCACGTCCAGCTCCACTGGTTCCCCCACTTGACCGCCCTTAAGATGTTTGATGAAGGGCAATGGCACCACGCTCCAATCCATCTCCCACACCTCCAATACTTGGCAGCGAACTTCCACGGAGCAGTAGCCGTCTCTTCGCCAAAACTTCAACGACTAGACTTACTTGCGGACTTCGATAACATCGACCCCGAGCACTTCGCCAATTGGCACCTTTCGCCCACCGTGACTGAACTCAACGTGTTTGTCGACCATCCCTTTGCATTCAAGTATGAGAAAGTGCTTGTGTGGCTCCACCAGCTTGAGAATATCACTACGTTTTCTGCTCGGGTCTCTCACCGCAAACGCGACGAGCCCGACACGGCGTTTTACTGGCACGTCCTTCCAGATCTGGGTGATGCTATGACCCAGATACTCAACCGATGCCACCACATCACCCTCGACTTGCTTATCATCAATCACCTTGAGTTCAGCCCCCCCAATCACAATACTTATTACCGTCACGGCAACGAAGATGCCACTCTCATTTTGGTGGAACCGTTCATGGCAGTGTCGAAGTTGGCACCGACAATGCAGCAGAAGCTCGCCCACATCCTCATGCTGAGCCATGTGGCGCAGCTTGGGTTCCAGTTCGGTGAAGTGGTCGACAATAGTGACTTGACGGCGTTGGCGCTAATCCTCAACTTATTGCTGGGGCTCCACCAGAACTACCGGTGGACCGCGATCACCCGAGTGTCGATCGAAAAGTGCTGGTCACGGATCGACGAGATGATTCTTCGGCGGTTCTGGATGGAGCCGAAGTCGCAGCCGCTCGCCACGGCCACGGTGTGGGGACGCATTGCCGTAAACACCCCCAGATTCCGGCGCCAGGAGTCATTTGCCGTCGACTACACTCCATCCGCCGGTGATGTCGATTGCTTATCGTTTGCCCCCACCGATGGTACCCCGACTAACTCACAGTTCTGGAGTGTGGAGCTGGCTAAACTAGATTTGGAGCAGTATACTTTGCCCCAGCGGAGGCGTAGCGGCATATGGGCATGACAAATTCAATCCTATACTTCAGTTTAATACAAGTCAAGATATCACACATGATTTCAAGGTAGTATCGATAATAAGTGCTGACTACCCAATCATTCATGTTGCTAACCATCCTCTACATTGACAAATATATGATGCTCACACCAGCAAGCTTCATGTGACACTGGCCAAGGGTAACAATCTCATACCAGATATATAGGTAAAATTAAAACCATTCGCGCTTTTCCGGAAATAAGTACCCGATTTCCCGGAACTATTCCCGAAGGGCACTTTTCAAATCTCAGCGCGAAATTTTCAATTCGCACGACCCTCTTAATCAATTCCACCTAAGTCGTGAAAAGATTCCACCTCGGCAGCGAACAATTCCCTCTTCGTGAAACAAACATTCTCCTATATATGGAATCAAATCCAGCTACACAAATTATCAATTCTCCAATTCAAATAAACAATTCCTAACCACTTAATTATCGATTCCCCTCCAGCACATACTAAATCCCTGCAGACTGACGGAATTGATTAGTCTCGTAATGGGATTTGAAAATTTCAAACAGGGAATCTTTCATGAGAGTTGAAGGAATGAAAAACCCAAGCCTGCGAATTGAAAAAAGGACTAAGGGGAATTGTTTCTACATCGTGGGGATTTAAATTAAATTTATGTTGGAATTGTTTTGCGTGGAATCAGGAATTGTTTACGCTAGAGGACGAATCTTTTTTCTCCTCGACCGGAATTGAATAAAGTGCGCGAACCGAGGGAAATGGAATTGATTTGATTTTACCTGTATTACGATTTTTTTTCGAATGTCGACTCAGCTTGTATTAACTATATACAGAAAATCATAAGAGCAGCACGCCCTGCACACAACCGGTCTATTTGGCGGTCACATCACCAGAACGCCATGGTTGAGTACTCCCAAACCATGACGCCGGGATGCGTCAAAGAACCATCGCCCCACCCACTTGGCCGTAGCACTGGGGTGACCAGTACCCGAATGCCATTAGAGTATTTAGCTCTTGTTTCACCCGAAGACGATGACAAATCGAGTACTGGTGGGGTGAGACGGTGGTTCAGATCCCTCTGCCAACCGAGGCCAGCAGAGTTTACCTTCTTCGTCCTGAGCAGCGACGAAATCCACAACTTATATATACAAGCACAATGACATCGCGGGTTCTGCTATCCACTGCTTTTCATGGGCCACGCTAACTCTGGCGTGGGATGCCTCCTCTGTTGGCGGGGATGAACACTCAACTTCTCCGGGCACGGCACTATCCACTGCGGCTGAGGTGATTAGATCAGCCTCACTTGCAGGGGTGCGGACACTCAACCGGGAACTGTGGGCGTTCAGCTGCCACGCCTTTAAAGGTACCAAACAAGGGTGGCGGCTAAGCTGCTCACTGATTTGCTGGGACAGAATCCGCTTTGTCATTAGTTCACCCAACCACCACTGCCGACAATTAAGGGGTGTGCTAACTCTCCACGTTAAGCAACGGGCATAGCGTAACACACTTTCCACTTATTCGTCGTGGGACCAAAGGAGTTGTCCGTATAGCGATGATTGAGTGAACTATGGGAGTCCATGGGTGATGAAGGAAAAACCTAGCTCCAGGGCGGGCGAGTGGTTTTTATACCCCTGCCCTGTATACAGCGAACTAATAAACCTGGGATGAATTGTTACCCGGCCATCAGCTGCTGGCCCGCCTCTGCCATTGTTCTCGTCGCCATCACGACAGCATGCCTGACCTAAAGAAAGATGCGATCGACGATAGTCGATGATCACAGATCCTCTAACCTTTGTGAGCATAGCGGCAACAATTCTATCGCCAGTGCTATCCTCTGCTAACTTCGCTGGTCCCGATAGCTTCAATATTGTCCATGTAGCTAAATTTAGGTGCTCAAATTTAGGGGGCGGCTATGACTGTTCAAAAATTTTCCTCAACCACCGCACATTAGCCAGCCATGTTGACGAATTCGGTAACAGCCTCATAATCCCTGGAAACAAATGACTAGTGTCAATTGGCAATACCATGCTCAGGCTATCGCAAACACACGGGACGGTTGTACCACCTTGGACAACCGTCAAGCCTTGAAATCGTGTTGCCTTCGTAAGCTTTTGCTCTTCGGTCTAGAACATTCTCGTCGCCGACGAATTCCCATTGTTTACGGAAATTAGCTCGTCAATGCAGCCGAGCAGCGATGAGGAGCAGCGTCCATCAGAGACTCCCCCAATGAGTTAATGGGGTTCTCAGTAGCGGTGAGAGTAATTGGCAGACGTAGTTAACAAAATTTCTTTCGAGAGTTGACATATCAGTGTCAACATCATCAACGTTGCCAACTAACATTACCCTGGCAATAGAGATTACCAACGTCAACGGCGTCCACTCTCAGGTCATCGGCTCCGACGATATCTCAACCCCCCTTGTTTCACTTTGATAGTATGGTTGGCTAGTTTCTGACATCGAGAAATCTACCAACGTATTTTGCTTAGTGACATTATCAGATTGAAAACTTCGCGCGCCGCTTCTACTGGTACTACCAATAGTGGTTCGATTGAAACCACCAATTTGTATGGAATTTTGGTGATATTCGAGTAAATATGGGTTCACAAGAACCACAATAACCCCGTGATTAGCCTAGATTTTTTTAGCAACCACTCCTTCACCCATTACTGATTCGACCGATAGACTTAGTGTTCGTGCGACATGCTTGTCCATCATCTATGGCGACGACTGTTTACCACCACGACTACACGATGGGCCGCTGCTAAACAGGTCCTCTCAGTGGAAGAGAAGAAGCGGTTGCTTAACCAGGAAGCTTACCGCAAAGAGATCGAGCAACGGGTGTCCAAGATCCCCATCGAGCGTTACCGGAACTTCTCCATCGTCGCTCACGTCGACCACGGCAAGCTGACGCTTAGTGATCGGCTTTTGGAGCTTACAGGGGTGATCCAGCCTGGGGGGAAACAGGTGCTTGACAAATTGGATGTGGAACGAGAGCGGGGGATCACCGTTAAGGCGCAAACGGTGCTGATGATGTATAACTACAAAGGCGAGGACTACTTGCTCCATTTGGTCGATACTCCCGGCCATGTTGATTTCAGAGCCGAAGTTTCCCGAAGCTACGCTCTGTGTGGCGGGGCGTTATTGATTGTCGACGCTCTGCAAGGTGTACAAGCCCAGACCGTGGCCAACTTCTATTTGGCGTATCTGATGGGCCTCAAGTTGATCCCCGTGATTAACAAAATCGATTTGGATGCTGCTGATATCCCGAAAGCGGTGGAACAAGTGGAACTGACGTTTGAGCTTGACCCGAACGATTGTATCCCCGTCAGTGCGAAGACGGGTCAAAATGTCGGTGACATCATCCCCAAGATCATTGAGGATATTCCTGCTCCTACAGGCAAAGTGGACGCTCCTTTGAAGGCTCTTTTAGTTGACCTGTGGCACGATCCTTACCTCGGGGTGGTGATGCTTGTGCATGTGGTTGACGGTGTCATCAAGAAGGGAATGAAGATTTTACTGGCTCACCTGAACCGCAAGTACGACGTCAAGGAGGTGGGGATCATGTACCCAGAGAAGATGCCGATGGACCACATCCAGGCGGGGCAAGTCGCCTACGTGGTGCCGGGGATGAAGAACCTGCGGGAAGCGCTTGTGGGTGACACCTTCTTTGAATTGGGTCACCATGAAGGGCTTGAGCCGTTGCCAGGGTTTGAAGAAGTGAAACCCATGGTGTTCGTCGGGGCGTTCCCTGCCGATGGTACCGAATTTAATGTCATGGACGACCACATGCAAAACTTGGTATTGAACGACAGACTGGTTACATTGGAAAAAGAGACGCTGAATGCCTTGGGACTTGGGTGGAGACTCGGGTTCTTGGGATCGTTGCATGCCCTGGTATTCCAGGAACGTCTTGAGAATGAGTACGGTGCCCGGATCATTATGACGGCTCCGACGGTGCCGTATAAGATCAAGTACCGCAACGGTGAAGAGAAGATCATCACTAATCCGGCTGATTTCCCCGCTGGTGACCGTAACCAGCACGTGGAGGCGTTATTGGAGCCTTACGTGGAAGCGATCATGACTATCCCTCAAGAGTATATTGGGGTGGTGATGACGCTTTGCGAGAATGCTCGAGGCATCCAAAAGGAAATGGAGTATCTCTCCACCGGTCAAGTGCTCTTGAAGTACGATATTCCCCTTGCTGAGCTTGTGGAGGATTTCTTTGGCCGTTTAAAGGGGAACACCCGAGGCTACGCCTCGTTGGACTACGAAGATCTGGGCTATCGTAAAAGCGATATTGTCAAGATGGAGCTTTGTGTCAACGGTGAGCCTCAGGATGCGTTGACTACAATTATCCACCGGTCTAAAGCTCAGCAACGCGGTCGAGAATACGTGCAACGGTTCAAGCAGTACCTCCGCCATCAGTTGTTTGAAGTTGCCATCCAAGCGAAGGTGAATAATAAGGCAGTGGCTCGAGAAACAATCAAGGCCCGCCGTAAGGACGTAACCCAAAAGCTTCACGCCGCCGATATCTCGCGGTACAAGAAGTTGTTAGAGAGACAGAAGGAGGGGAAGAAGCAGATGAAGGCGCTGGGGCGGGTGCACATTGCCCACGAAGCCTACCAGCAGTTCTTGAGAAACGACAAGGCCGGCAAGTAGTTGGCCCCATGTATATAGTATTTGGCATGCTAAGCGCATATGCGCCTAGCCCCACAAAATCATACACAAACACGTACAAAAACGTTCAGACCATACATAGACAGACATCTGCAATCCGAGACGGAACCGTGGTCCAACCGTCGTACGATACTAAATTGACCTCGCAGGCAATTGATCGAGACCTAATTGACGTGATACACCATAGCTCACTCTTCCCCTAGAAATAAAATCAATAAAATTGAATAACGCTCGTTGCACGGTTATCGCATTCACTAAGTATCAGGTTGATACCACGATCTTCGGAGGCGTACGTCCGAAGTTGTGTACCAGTCACTGTCCCCACATTTCACCCTCTCCACACCTACCGCGACCATGTCTCTCCTTGACGCCATCGCCGCCGTCGATGGCTTCCCCTACGACAACCTCCAGGGCTACAAAACGCTTCGAGGCCACGATGGCACCGCCTTAGGCTATGTCACCGAAGCGATCGCAAAGCATTTCGTTGACGAACCGGCATTCTCCGTCACCGATACCGATATCACGTTGGACGCCCAATACGACAGCGTGGACAAGCGCAACCAGGTGTTCGCTGATCTCGGTGCCCGCTGGCGCCAGCGAGAGCTGTTGGACGCGTTGTTGAACCGGCGGTGGCGCGATGAGCTCTACACTGTATTTGGTGCCGACCACAACGTCTACGTGTTGGTAGAACGGGCGCTCCTGACGCTTTTAGGAGTGGTAACTTACGGGGTTCACGTCAATGGCTACCAAAAGAAAGACGGTAAGATCTACTTGTGGGTACCTCGGCGCAGTGCTGACCGGCCGATGTGGCCTGGGCTTTTGGATAACACTGTCGCTGGCGGGTTGGGCTATCCTCACGGTGTTGAAGCTACTTTGATCAAAGAGGCGATGGAGGAAGCTGGAATTGAAGAACAATACGTTAGAGACCACGCCACAGCCGCGGGAGTGGTGTCGTACTGTTATTTGGCTGAAGGCAACATTGTCCAACCAGAAGTGGAGTACATTTATGACTTAGTGTTTGATGATGAAACCAAGCCTAAGCCAGTGGACGGGGAACTGGAAGATTTCCAGTTGATGGATGTGGATACAGTTATCGCCAAGATTCGTCAAGGGGAATTTAAACCCAATTGTGGCCTCGTGATTATCGATTTCTTGATTCGTCACGGCATCGTCACCGCTGAAAATGAACCAAAATACTTAGAGATCGTCCAACGAAGCCACCGCCGCATGCCCTTCCCGACAAGATGATGGGAGAGGATACATAAATAGACATCTACCTCAGAATACACAAGACCGGATAACTAATTGACATCATGCATTCGTTAGCTCCTCTCAACATAAGAGTTCATTGATTGGGTATCGGACTATATACTTTTTCATCTGTTGGAGGTTGTCTTCTCCAATAACATCGCCGAGGCAGACATTAACAATTCTGTTTGCCTTTCGCAAGTTGCTCGTCATTCGCATCACTAACAGAGCTAGTGCCTTCAACCAAACTTAGTATTGTAGCTTAGTCAATGGCAAAGAAACTGATGCTTTCACTGCCTCGGAACCGTTGGGGCATGACGAGGTCAGGGTCCGGCGCCAGCGGCGGCGCCTGAGGTGCATCAGGCGGCGTAGCCCAGTGTTGGCGAACATAAAGATCAGTAAGCGGCGTCACCGCGGTAGAGGGAGCTCGGCGTGGGGGAGCAAACACGTCGGTGACAACCATAAGGTCTTCCGTTTCCCGAGCCCTATCGGAAAAGGCAAAGCGTCCGTCACGTTCTAACCGGCGTCGACGTTGCGAAGCCACTCCTTGACTATTGGTTTCCTCAGCTACCATTTGTTGGCGACATAAAGGACACGAGAGGTTATTCTTAAACCACTCCACAAGGCACAGCCGGCCAAACACATGACGACACTGAGCGATACGCATGGGGATATGGAGGTCAGGATTGGTCACTCGCGAGGCACCACTGGACCCGAAACCAGTATCGTAGTTCGGGAATAGGTCCAGGTCGTCAACCTCTCTAGAATCAAGAAGCATTCGCTGCGGTACTCTCAAGTAATTAAACCCCAGCTCGTCGACGGGGAAATACATCAGCGGGTCATTGAATCTCAGTTTGCTGCGCCAGCGCTCGCATTCCAAGTGGCGAAAGGCATCGTGGACGTCGTCATCTAGCTCGATAAGCCGCTCCAAGTGGCGACTAGTCGGGGGGTGTTCGTCCTGGAGTGGGGTGCCGTTTCTGAGTCCCTGGAGGTCGTAGTGTTTTGGATCAGCGTAGGATTCATAGCAAATAGGACACACAGTGTCGTCGACGTCGTCTAGCAGCTCCACTGGTTCTAGCAGGCTTATCGCTTCGTCGACGCCAAACTTATTGCGCCCTAATGAGCCCATAGCCAGCGACATGATATCGGCTAACCAGTCAGGCACGTTTCGCAGCCTCACCCGTCCCGAGTCGAGATCGAGATCAAGCACAGCATTGAAGAGGAAGTCCATGAGGGTTCAAGGGAGTTGTGGCGTGATAAGGCCAGAAGCGAGACAATGATAACGGTTAATGGCGCGGGTGCCTGATCACATAATCGCTTACTCATCATTCGCGTTTTTTTGCTATGATTTAGCGACAGGAAAGGTGGGCCCGTCTCTGTCGAGTGTATCCCCGGGCACACAACCAAAGACCCGTCACCCTCACTTTACCACACCACCTACACCAACTTACAATCCGCCATGGCCGGCGCCAAACCCCCGGTCCAGCTCCCGTTGCTCCATAACCCCCTCCTCCATTGCATCCTCAACAACCCCAACGCGAACAAACACCCGTTTCGCAACACCATCGACCTCCTCCGCCTCCACCACTACGACTACGCCCTCGTCCTCCCCCCCGCCACCGTCCTCCACCAATGGTACGATCCTGCTAGCGACGACCTGCTGAGGCGAGTGCTTCTCCGAGAACTCTGCTACTCGCTGGAAGACTTCATCCAATCGCATATCATCAAAATCCTGCTGGGATCGAGCCTGACTCCCCGAGCAGCGCTGCTGATCTATACCACGATGAACGGCAAGCAATTGCTTATTAAGAATGGGGTGCTATTCCCTGGCAAAGGGTTCAAGCGGCAGGTCCGCGTCGAACTCGTTGATGTTGGCTACGTGCCGACGTTTGCCGACTACTTCCCCCGAGGGGCTCGTCTCTTAGTGCTCTACGTCGAGCTGCTGCTTTGGGGAGCACTGCCGCCAATAAAACCGCTACCAGCTCCTCCTAAGCCTGCTAATGAGACTAATACGCCTAATGTCCCCGTGGAACTGGTGACGTTTGATCGCTTACTTCGCAATTTCCCGTTACTATCTAAAGTGACCAGCGACCACTTCTACTCGTTGTTTCACCACAATAACCCCAAATACCGCGTTCTTCTGACCTATACACAAAAGCCAGTTGAAGACATTGTCACTGAATTCACCCGCATTCGCGACGACGCCTATGATATCGTCCTGGAGTGTGTGCGCCCAGGAGCACTGCCACTAAGCGACCAGACGAAAGAAATGCTTCAAAAAGTGATGGAAACTTACCCCACCATCGACTTGAACCAGCTTGTTCACGAGTACGTCGAATTGAACCTTTATGATAAAGTGTGGGCTCAACTCCTCCTCCAGTTTAACACTCTGGCTCCGCCGTTGGATCAGTTCAAACACGTCCTGCTTAACCAGTTGGATATGCCCGTACACACACCATGGGCAATGGACGAAATGCACCACCGGGTGGCCAAAGCCGCCGCCACCTTGGCTAAGCTTGACGATGATGCTACCAATAACGCTCGCTTGAAGTTAGATGTGGTCACAGCTACCGTGCGTCACTTATCACGAGAGTCTCCCGGTTTGGTGGTCGATGCTGATACGCTCATTGGTCTCCTCATCATGGTGGTGTGTCAGGCCCAGGTGGCCCACTTGGACGCCCACCTCTTCTATATCCGCAAATTCAGCGTCAATGCCACCGATGGCACCGCTGACTATATCTTGGCGAACTTTGACGCCGTACTTTTCTACTTGAAAGAGCATGGCGACGATGTGGCTCGCTATTCTCGTACCAATCGGGAATGGTGGCAAGCAGTGAAACGAGCCCCCGAAACGGCGCTGAAAATGTTAGCTGAAGCTCCGGCTACTCCACAACCATCGCATTGGCTTTATGCTCGCACCGCTGGGGGAGAACTGGCGGCGATGCTTGCCATCAAAGCTCACCAGCCCCAACTATTCATGGCGCTATTATACTATAATCCTGAGTGGTTTGGCGTTGAAGACCTCCTATTTGACCGCACTGTCGATACTCACCAAAGCTTGCTTATGGTGTCGCTAGAAGAGAAGTTGACCGATGTCAATCGCGAACTTGTGGCGTTTCTCAAGCTTAACTGCTCCCGCAAGGAGATTGAACTATACCTTAATACGGTTGACAGCTCTGGCCGCAGTGTCGGTCACTATTTATTCCACGATATCGACCTTATCGACTCGGTGGGCGAGTACATTAACTGGAACCTCAAGGACCATAATGCCCACACCCCGCTCCTCAGTTTGTGTCGGTGCTATGACCACGCCAATTACCGTGAGCTTATCGCAAAAGTGTTTACCGCCATCACCCACAAATACGGTCCTGGTGCCCTCGACTTTGACTACCATGTCGATAAAGTGAACAACACGTTGCTCCATGTGATCAAATCTGACCTTGATGCCTCGCAAATCCTCAGTGAACCCCGCAATTTGGTTAATATCAACCAGACCAACGCTCGCCTGATGACACCGCTCATGTTATACGCCAAGTACTTGCGTAACGATAATCTTGACGCCGTGCTTAACGACGACCGGCTTGATTTCCTTTATGAGAATGCCAAGTTCCATTTGAACGTGTTTGACTACACTCTGTTTAAGGAGTCAGATCAACCCGGTTCAGAGTCAGCGCAGAAGCTTGTGGCCCACTACCGTAAAATGGTTGGGCCGCGGTTGGCAGCGTTAAGTTGTCGTTGGGACAGTACGTTGAAGGATTGGGCGGTGCTTGTTTGTGATTTAGGCACAGCTAAAGTTTACCCCATTCACTTGAAAACCATCGGCCAGTTGATATATACTGGAAAACGCAAATACCCTTGGCTTCTGGCGTTAGTGGACGAGGATAAGTTCTGGCTTAACTATAACTTGAGGGTGAGCGGCATGCTGATCATGAACAAGTTCCAGGTAAACCGCGTGATTGACCAGCTCAACGTGGTGTTTGAAGCGCTCCACGATTTGGGGAAACTGGGACAACCGGTGGTGGAGCTGTTCCTTCAAGTACTGAACAACCACCTGACCCTCGAAGCGATGGAAAAGATCCACCAGGAACACACTCAGCGGCTAGCAGCCATGGGTCAGGTGGAGCTAGGTCGCCAACACATCCAAGATATGGAGACATTCTTCGGCTATAGCCTTGATAATGTGGTCGCGTACCACTGCTTGATCATGAGGTTTAATAAGCTCTTGGCGGTGGCTCTGATCAAAGTACCGGAAATTGCGTTTCTGCTTGAGCAAATGGTCAAAGTGTACGCTGGCGGTCGTGAGTTCCGACTGCTGGAGGCCGGTCCCATCCACAGTACTTGGAACACATTGCTCAACTATACGTCATGGCTTGAATTATCCGTGGCTGATTTAGTGGGGAACATCAAGCGAGTATTGGCCAAATTGACGGTATGGAAAGATACTTACCGCGAGATCCGTGAGCTCAATCTGGAAATCACGAAGTGTGAGGAATCACTCCCCCCAACCCCTGACCAACAGCCACCACATGAACCCCCTAGTAACGGAAGCTCTCCCAATAATGGCGAGACTCTTGTTCGTCGCAATACATTCACCATTGACCCTGTACCCGATGACATTGCTGAAGAGGATACCACGCTGAGTTTCTTCAACTTTGCCAACATCGTCGAGAACAAAAAGCTGCGCTACCGTCGGTTACTATACACCAAAGCCTCCCAAGTAAAAAAGATCATGGATCTTAACCAGGAGCTTAAGTTGGACCACGAGTTGATGGCAGCCGAGATCTCGCAGTTCATCTCATTCCGAGGCGACTTCATTCGCCATGCATTTGCCAGACACACCCAGGCGGCCCGCGTACGCTTACGCCAGCGGTTGACTGAGCTCCAAATATTGAAACGAAGCCTCGTGGACAATAACGACGCCGGGCTTAGCTAGTACATAGACAACAACACTCCATCTTTTTTCGAAGATGTAGCCATTCAACGTCTTGTGACGCATTTCCACAATAGTCTCAAATTGCCCACAATTACAATAGATTATTTAAAAAACATCAGGATTCATTACCAATAATATAAATACAAACTCCTCAATCGGCATTTAGGCCCGTTGGAACTTTTCCCACTCCCAGGTCCCAGGGTTGATGAGATCGTTGTGGGTTTCGGCGAACACAAGACCCCCAGGAGCGCCCTGCGACGTCAACGAGTGGAGGTAGAAAGCAAGCTTGGCATGGTCGAAGCCGTTGGTGGCCATGTCATTCTTGACTTCGGCAAGAGCCTCCTCCTTGGTCACGGTGCGGGTGATGTTAATCGGTTTGCCGTGGAAAGCACTCCAGGCCTGGTGCACGTCAGTGTACGACACTTTGTCCGATTCGACATTGATGAAGTCGAGAAGCTTCGAGTAGTCCGGGAACGTGGCGATCGCCGCCAACACGCGTCCAACATCCCTCACCGACGTCACCGAGGTCTCAGTGGAGACGTCGCCCCGAACCACGGTGCTGCCGTCAGGGGAAATGCCAAAGTACTGAGCAAAGTTTTCTGGCAACGTGCCCGGTTCGTGGAACAAGCCGGTGTATACGTCAGCCACTTTGATCCCCAATTGTCTCACCGTCTCCGAGTGGATCGCTTGGAAGCCAACGGAGCCAGGCACCAACTTTTCCGTTTGTTCAATGTCGCCACTGAAATCGGACGGGATGTACAACTGGGGCTTCACTTGAGCCAAAAACGCTTCGAGGCCAGGGTTCACCGCAGGGTTCAAGCCCACAAGCGAGATCACCGCGTCCACGGACCCCACGCCTTGAGCCAACTTTGTCACTTCACTTTCATTGGAGACGTCGCCAATGACGTACTCCACCCCGGGTAAAGGTTGTTTAGGGTCACTGCGAGAGACCACTTTGATCTCCTTAACCTTCAGTCTGAATGCGTCCGAGGTGAGTGCTTCGTAGACGGGCTTACCCAAAATACCGTTGAAGCCAATAATTGCGATGGAAACTGCCATTGTATCTGTTGTTGTAATTGTTTTGTTGATGAGGATTCAGCTATGGTTCCAGGACCATTATATAGATCATCATCTCTTCAGGGGTGTCGGCATCATCGGTATAGTTGTGAACGTTTCTAAGCGCCATTCGAATATCTAAGCGCCATTTGCCTTCTGTAAGCGCCCGCAAACTTAGACTCTAAGCCCCCACAAATTAGTACACAAATACGCAGTGATAGGAGCGAATCGCTGGCAATATGCAAGGAATGCATCACAAAATTGATACTTCCACTGTAATCGATGCAACTCGTCCCGTAATTTGTAGAATACACCTTTCGGAAACTTTCCGTTTATGGTAACTATAAGAGTACGTGTCGGACACTTCCTTAATAAGGCAATCATAGGAGAAGCTCACTTTCGAATAAGAATTCACGGTGACGTAACTAGGAATAGGATGCTTGCAGACACCACACTGAAGACTATTTTCCATTGCGAGGATCAAACTTTGGTATTTTAAGAGGCCGACGGACGGATGCCCTAGGACAACAGGGAGCTTTGATAGCTCTCGCCACCGCCAATGTTTCGAGGCTCTATCCTACCCAATGATACAGTTTGATGTGGTACTGCTTCATCTCGTTTCCTTGACTACTGCAACTGCTATTGTGGCCTAGTCATCCTGGTACTAATAAGTGGCAATAACTTTCCAGCCGAGCATTTTACCGGTATACGTCGCTAACAAAAGTTTCTCTACCAGTTTCTCCGAATAAGATGGCAAACTTATCGTCTCACGATAGCGCTATCAGCATACCCCGAACAAGGACTTCCTGTGGGCCGTCACCCAACTGACCTTCGCCTACATCATGTGTCCTGCGCCATTGGGTATATATCTTCCTATGTGAAAAATTGAGATCACCATAAATCCACGCTGAAATGATCAAATTTTAAAGTTATTCAGAAATATTTTGAGTCTGAAAAATTGATCTCCAAAAGTTTGAGCCCTCGTTTCATATTGATATCGCCCATGGGTGGCGTTGGTATTCCAGGGTTAACCTTCCCTCAGTGGCAAGTGTCTGCAGTGCCATGCGCGCTCCCCACCACCAATTTACCAATGCCAACACAAGTACAACCAGAGGCTATCGTCAATACATCCCATTGCTAGGCCCATGGAAACCGACTTTCATTTTCAATCATTACCAAATCCACTATCTTCTACCGTGACTAGCCAAATGCTTCGTCGACAATCTAATTTGCTCGCCTCTCGGCTTCCATGGACTTCCACGCTCGATTTGTTCACGTGGCATAAAACGCTCGCACTCTCCGCGCTGATCTCCCATTGTATCCTTGAAGCGTACTTTCCATACTGAAGATGCCCTACACCAACAAGGACGTGGCCTTGGCCATTATTGACTTCTTGCAGACCTCCGTGCAAAAGAAGGACGTGCCTGAGGACTACGCCGAATCGTTGGACGTCGCCATCGACTGCATTGGCGATGCTTTTGGCGTCGACAAGCTGAAGGCGGCTAAGATCAACGGCCAATCGCTCGTTGACATCGTCAACGGTGCTTCGTCGCCGTCGTCCTCGGCTGCTGCTACTAAGGAGAAGGCTGCTGCGGCTACTTCCACTGTCGACGAAGCCACTAAGGCCGAAGCCGACGCCCTCAAGGCTGAAGGCAACAAGGCGATGGCTGCCCGCAACTTCTCGGAAGCCATTGCCAAGTACACCCAGGCGATCGAGCTTGACCCGTCCAACGTCGTCTACCTCCTGAACCGGGCGGCGGCGTTCTCGTCGCTGGGCCAGCACGACATGGCCATCACCGACGCCGAAAAGGCCATCGAGCTCGACCCCAGCTTCTCCAAGGCCTACCTGAGAATGGGGCTTGCTAAGTACGCTCTGGGTGACGCCAAGGGCGCCATGGACGCCTACAAGAAGGGGCTCGACATTGAGGGCGGCACCCCCAGTGAAGCGATGCAAAAGGGCTACGAAACCGCCAAGAAGCGCGTCGAAGCCGACTTGGAAAAGTCCATTGACACCACCCTGACCCCGGCCGCCGGTACCGGGGCTGCTGGCGCTGGTGGTATGCCTGACTTCTCGTCGATGTTCGGCGGCGGCATGCCCTCGCTCGGCGAGATGATGAACAACCCCCAGGTGATGCAAGCGGCGCAAGAGATGATGTCGAACCCGCAAGCGATGCAGAACTTGTTGAGCAACCCTGCGGTCAAGCAGATGGCCCAGCAATTCGGGTTGGGCGGTGAAAACGGCCCCGACTTGTCGGGGTTGATGAACAACCCGATGTTGAGCTCGTTCATGGGTGGTGCTGGCGGTGCTGGCGGTGCTGGCGGTGCCAACGGCGGTGCTTCCGACGCCTCGAAGAAGAACGAAGAGTAAATTCACTAGGTGTATTTCCCGTAATGAGTATAAATGCTACGAATAAATAATCTGATCATTTCATTACGTCACTAAATGCTGCTCTCTGAGTGGGGAATGGGCTCGTCCCACTATACTAATCCATCATTTCCTCGTCACTGCGCTCAAAGTCGCTGGGCTGGTTGATCGGGTTAGCCCGTGCTGCCAACCGTTCCCGGCGCTTCTTTTGTTCCCATTTGTATCTGGGCCTCAAAGTATACATGCCCTTGTTGGGCGCCTCTTTTTCCTTTATGGCCATCTTTCTGAGAGTCCAGCTCACGTGTTGCTCCGGTTGCCCTATGCTCAGCGCCAAGCCGTGTAAGCTCCAGTGGTCTCGCTGATCAAATAGCATTCTTAACTTGCCTTTTAATTCCTCCGGTTCCATCAATACTCGACCCCTTCGTTTCATCCTCTCGACATAAAGCTGATAGTGGCGCACCCGTTTACTGGGCTTATCCTTCGGCTTATATTCCTTTGGCATCTTTTCCTTTGATTGTTGAGATGTTCCGCTTGATTCAATGTTTCGTAAAACTCAAAAAGGTTGGCTGATAGGCGGAAAGGTCGTGGCACAAATGAAAGGGACAATTCAGCTTGTTGTGTCCAAGTGAATCATCAACATTCTTGACTGGTCGAATAAACAATGTGATCACGTGAACCTCTCCAAAATCCCGCGGTTAGATTTCCTATTTGGGAACACGAAGTAACCTCGATTTGAGCAGGTCTAGACCACTTCTATCGGCGACAATTATGGCGTAGACACTATTAAGTAGAATAACAACACTGTCATTTAATTTTCACTCGGATGTCGCTGTTGAAAGAGTTGATCACGACGATGTGACAGGACTCTTTGGCAGCAGTATGCTCGTGACCTGCGGACGACTCATTGTATGTTTATGTCTATTAAGTGGTCATATAAGGCGGGACTGGTTAGGTCCCTATGCAAAGAGAATAAATCATCAAAACACATCAAACCTCCGTTTCCGCCACAACACTTTCCAGGTGATCAACAACAACACCGCACTGGCAAAGAGACTCACCAGCGTGATCGAGAAGTAGTGGGCAAGCCCTATGCCCTGGTCCATTTCGTGACCGTAAAACAACGAGAACACCACCGACCCAACGGCGGGGGCAATCATAAACGTCCCCCATGAGGTGCCGAAGAAGTCTACCCCCCACACTTCACACGCTAGCGCGGGAAATAAGGTAAACATCGACCCGTAGCCAACACCATTAACCACCAGCACGGGGGAGAAGTCGCCCTGGTAGCCGACGACGGCCAACTGACCGATACAGGCAGTGATAAGGGCGATGATAACGAGCCACACACGACAGATCTGGACCGGACTCAGTGGCAGCGATAAGTAGTCGGAAGCAGCCCCCATCACGAGTCTAGCAGCAGTACTAGCCGCCGCCATCACCAGGACTTGATCAGGTAAGTTGCCGCCACGGATCTTGAGAATACTTCCCAAGTTATTCTGGAAGGACTCCATGGGGCCAATGGAGAGGATTAAAGTGACCATTAAGAGCCACGTCAGCTCGTCTTTAAGGAACGCAATAAACCGCGCCCGATGGTGTTTCGGTTCAATCAGCCGTTGAGGTAAAAGTGGCAGTTCTTCAGTTTCAGTAGTGGTTGTAGTGCCGTCCACGCCATAGGGAGCAGGCGTTGTCTCTGGGGACGGCATCACCATGATCTCATCAAAGATGACGTCCTGTTCTGCCATCACCACTGAACAGGCCACAAAGGACATCGCTCCAATCACCAAGTAAAGCCAGGCGAAGAACCAGAACACTTTATGGAGGTCAAGCAGACCATCAGGATTGTGGAATCGTTTCATCAACTGCGACCCAAGAAGCAGGGAGAAGCCAAAACACGTTACCGGAAGCGAGATCGCCATCCCTTTCAGGTGAGGGTAGATCTTAGCGCAGGTAAGTACGGAGCCGAAATATAACGCCAGAGTGGCTATACCCACAAGAGCAAAACAAGTCCCTAGACAGTACTTTGAAACAATCACTCCGTCCTCCATAGACGCCACGAGCACTGCTAACCCAGCGTAGGCAGGGAAGAAAAGCACTACTGCCACCACCAGTAAAAGTGGAGGACCATAGGCGTCAGCAGCAAACCCTAGTGCGGCGTTGGGAGCGTACATCGCCAACGCCAGCATCAGGGCGATGGTGTTACAATCCAGATACAGCAAACCAAGCTGGTCATGGAAGGCAGTGGCAAATACCAGGAATAGGAGGATCAGGCCTGCCAGTAAGCACAGCAAAAGCGATACCACGAAACTGAGGCGTTTGATCGAGGATTTGGCAAACCGGTGTTCGACCCAGCGCCGGACCGCCGTCACTGCGGGGGCCAACATTCAGAGATCACCGGGTATTTGTTATGGGGGTGGCAGGTGAAAGGGGCGAAGGTGTTATCGGTAGACCCGGTGATGCGATAATGACTCCTAACCGGGTGACTCGCACTTTCCCGTTCGAGCCCCAGATTCCGGGCTAGCGGAATTCAGTCACGGCTATTTAGGTTACGTAAAGGGAAGGGCTAGCTTGGATAGTAGTGTGTTGTGAAATGCAACATTTCACTGAAGATTTTCAAAGGTTTGTGTCATTTTTGATAGTTATTTATATCCCAAACTCCGTGTTGACATCGTGGACGTACATGGGCGAAATGGATTACAAAAACCCACAAATGTCTCAACCACGAAGGCGTGACTTTTCGAGCCTCATCGTGGTGCGGCTAAGTCGGATCAAACTAAAACGGTGTATCCTAAACTCTCAGTAAAGCGAGTAGTTTTCATGACTCATTGAGTCAACTGACGCTGACGAGAAATAGTGTAGTTTCTTTTGTTGTGACTCGAAACGATATTGAAATTTAATGTGTTCTAAGCTATGTCTTTGATTGGATTTTGAGAGCCATGTCTCAGAGTTATAATTTTCATGATTTAGTTGAGCTTTGGCGCGACTGCCCCATACTGTTCACTCTCCTCATCGGTGCGACGCGTCTCTGAGCAATGATCACTGTGGAAGATTGCGATACCGTCAAGGCCCACTTGGTTCCCGTGCACATTAACCATACTGGTACCGCCAACGTTGAAAAGTACTTCAAACCTAAGCCCATCAACGACACTGAAGTGGAAGCTTCTTTCCGTGGGGTGAAACTTGTGGGCACCGAGATCCCGCTCGACTTCCAAGGAGTGATTTTGGAGAAGCTGCTGGAGTCAATTGAAACTGACGACAACGGCACCTCCACCACCGTCAACAACTACAAGCTGGTGGGCCAGTTCTCAAGCTACACCGTGTTTGGCCACGACCACGCTCCCGGTCTGTGCCAGTATACTCGGGTGAACGAGTGGAAGGCCATCGCTGACATTATCCACGAATAGACGCGACGATGTTTGTCTCGGAAGAGAGTGACTCGGAAGAGGAATGGGAAGACTTATTCATTCGGGAGCCCGCACCGTCGTCTTCGTTCCAAATCGTCATTAGTGATGACCGCGTCAAGCGCCAGAAACAGGCATTGGAACATACTCAATTCTGTCGCCGTCTCCGCTCGATTTCCATCAAGAGCTACATTACGGCGGGGTATTGTCGCAATTTATTGATCAATTCTCGCCTGGTGCAAAAAGCACTAAGGCGACTTGTCCCTAATACGGTGAAGGTAAAGATCGCTCAACTAGGCAAACTACCATCGTCTACCGCTGATGAACAGTTGGTGTTTTGTTTGAAGTACTTGGTCAAATGGTTTGGTAAAAATTGGACTAACGATTGTTGTGGTATCCGAGTGCTAGGCTTTCATAGTCCGGCACCGTCACCAATATCGCCGATTAAGGACAAGCATGATCTACTCAAAGTGATTAAGCGATTTGCTCATAATCGAGACACTGCTGCTGTGTTGTTTACAGGGTTATTGCGATCGTACGGGTGGGATGCGCGATTAGTGTTGTCATTACCATGTTTAGATCGGCTGTCGGGTCCAGCTCCACCCCCACATCCCAATGCTGCTACTAATTTTGATAACGATTTGTTATTCCCGTATATGTGGACCGAATTGGTGAACCCTTTGGATCCATCGGAGATATTCGTATTGGACACTCAAGCGTTGATCAATCCTGATGATCGGTGCATTCGACTCAAACGAACGTCTCCACCGAGTCGAATCACCAAACAATCGAAGTCGGCATTCACCACTTCGGCATACACCCCGCACGGGTCATTGAACCACATGCAAATGCATTATGTTGTTGCTTACGGGCTGAACTATGTGTTGGACGTATCACCACGGTATATGGATGACATTGCATATCGCTATAATCGTCCATTAGATCTCCGCAAGGAAGTTGGTCGTCACGCGTTGATCTATACTCAGATGCTTGGGTATCTTCAAAAACGAGGGTGGCGCCCACCTCAAGATGAAGTTGATGCACTCAATAGTGTGGGAGTTTTATGCTTCAAAGTGCCAACGACGTTTGCGGCGATGCGTCGCAGCCCCAATGTGGTATGTTCACTGACGTTACGATACAATGAAGTTATCGCACCTGACGCTGAATCAGTGGGTAAAATCAGACTTGCGGGTAGTTCTAAGCTGCAACCGGTATTCAGGCGGACTCTGGTGGTAGTGGGAAGATCACGACGCCACTGGATGTTTCGTGGACGGGATGTGCTTAAGGATGCGGTGCCAATAAAAGTACTTAATCGTCAAGGCGGTGAAGTGGGACTATTCAAATTTGACCAAACTATACCTTATACGCGGTCGTGTGACTTCAGCTGCTCTCCTCCCCAGATCCCAACTAATGAGTATAATGATCTTGAGATTTACCACCCGCGAATGGTACCCCAGGGTGCTATATGGCTTCAGCTACCTGAAATTTACCGGTACTTTTCCAGTAAGCGAGTGAATGTGCTATTTCAATGGGTGCCGGTGGTGGTGGGGTTTTCCTTTGTTGGTAACAAAAAAGCTATACCTCAGTTCAAGGGGGTGGTGGTTTTACAACAGGACGAGAATGATGCTAAAAGATTGTGGCTTCGACTCCGCCGTCAATACGATCATCTGGTGCTCTATACTAAGCGACTTCGTGAGCTCGCGGCGTGGAAGCTAATGATAAGAAACTTACGGATTCGCAAGAGACTCCAGGACCATTACGGTGACTGTGACGAAGATAATGAAAATTCTACATAGACAATGCATTCAAAAATGATGACAACGACCTTTACCTAGTAGATTTTATAGAGAAAAATTTGATCTAATGAACTGAGCTGGAATCACATGGATATAGGTTGGATGTAGTAGTCAAGATGTGTAAACAAGATCGGTTTATTTCAAAAGTCCTTTAAAATCATACATATTCCACAAATTCCGACATCCTCAAAGAAGAGCGCTGGCCGATATAACAGAAGCAACGGTGACGCCGAGGATTCCTTGGCATTACCAATGAAGTAATCGTCAGCCCTAGGAGGGGATTGACATGAAAAAATCCCCTTATAATTGTCTTCTTCAATGGCGAAGGTAAGTTCTTACCCAAATTTTCCAATAACTCATCAGGGGTCTGCACCTACACCATCACAGCCGGTGTCATGACATGGGCAACGTTGACAATTGTAGCCCCTCTCTACGTCATTTTCATCGACCTCTCTTGTAAGCCGAGGAAGAAAAGTTTTAGCGACGAACGGAGAGGCGTACTGACCCAGGCGCAACACCCCTAGGACGTCGGTGGGGACGACGTCCCAAAGAATATCCAAAATGGCGCCAGCCCTAACACTGACCGGCTCCGCCTGACGGATAATTGCGTTAATGAGTTGAATGCGGACAATTTTGGAGGCGTGGAAAATCCCATCCTTGAGGCAGAGAGCATACACCACGTTCAATGCCGCCAAAGCGAGGTCGGTGGACAGGTTTTTGCTTAGTACTTCGGTCACTCTCTTAGCGTAGATCTCCACCAATTTGGGATCGGGTTGGTTGAGTTGCAAGCGTTTTTGTATTATGTCACACACTGCCACCTTTTCTTTGGCCAACAAGTCTTTCAGCATCATCAGATCGCTAGTCTGATGGTCGGTGGGGACGTTAGTGTCGTCGACGTCTATGGGATCCACTTTGGTCCCGGTTCCAGTGCTATCAGATTGGCGAGCAGTACCAGTGGTGTCGTCGTGCTCGGGAACACGATTGGGGGTGCTCGCTTTGACCATCATTGCCATAGTTTGAAAATCGATAGAGAGAGGTAATCTCTTATTCAAATTATAGGTGGACCAAATGACGCGGGGGTCCTAGGTTGCCTCGTCAACGCACAAGGGGACCACTACATTCAGGACGGAATGTTAGGACCAGGGTGGGCCGGGGTCGATAAATCTACCAAATAGCAACACCACCAACTGTATCTTTTGAAGAACGGAGTGAAAAAAACCATCAGTCCTGCTTGAATATTAAACAGTTTTCATTTGCCTCATCATTATTTATCTTTCAACTTTTAAAAGGCGTATCACGTCAGCCAACCCATAACCTTCTCCTGGCTCATTTTAAAACTTCACAATGGAGGCCAGATAATGGCAAATTGTTGGGCCAGAGACACGTAAGTCTTAAACTGTGTCTCATGTTCTGTGAAGTCGCGTCCCGAAAATCTCGGACTTAGGACGTGGGTAATTCCAGTCGGACAAATAAAACCTTTGGGTCTACACCTTTTGGAAAGTTAAAACGATCGCATCAGAAATTAGTCAATTTAGCCGGCATCTCACAACCTGAGGCAACAATTCCCTTGCCTTCAAGCGTCATTTTGAAAAGTTTAAGAGGGCCAGAGGGAGGCCAAATCGTTGTCTACTAGACGATGAGCACAGGCGGGGCACATTCTGTCGTGCCTGCACCGTGATTCGTGTCATTGTCTGCGTCTCCCCCTGAGCCTGGAAATTAGTATTTGAATCGCGTCTATTGACATGTTTGAGATGAAGTGATCCCCACTATCGTACAAGTATCTAAGCGGTACACACCATTCAATGTTCATTAAGAATACCAACTTCCCCGATAACAATATCACCATAACTGAGGGCAAAGCTCACTGACTGGCTTGATGTCTAGCTGGTGGGGTCAAACGGCGCGTGGAAAAATAATCGTTGCCGTTGTCTAGGAGAGCTTCTGCGTGATCACGTACTGCAGTTGCCATCGTAGTCTAAAACAACAGTGCTCGCGAAGGATAAAAACGTCGACGACGCCTGTGGAATGGAACTTTTCGTTGCTTAGACGCTAATGCTGAAGTGGGTTAATCTTGACGACGTGAAGTGGATGGAGCTTGACGACGCTCGCTCATGGCACTGGATGCTGGAGATGTACTATCGGCCAAATCCCACCGTTAGAAAGATTGTTCAAGCCAAAGTAGAGGTGGCGACCATCCACCAAGAGATCTGCCGAACCCATCGCGAAGCTGATGCCGCTGCTTTGGCGTTGTTGCAAGCGTTTCGTGAAGAGCATGTCGCCGCATCAAAGGTAACCCAAGCGAAACATCAATGGGCAATCATGGACTCCCTAATGACAAACATGTGCAACATGGAGAACGTCCCCTTCGACAATACAACGATCCAACGCGTGGCTTCAATGACGATGAACTCATACAAGCAAGCGGTGAAGGACCACTCTGGGACGCTGACCATTACTGGCAACATCGAACGAGGGTGGCTTAAAGCGAAGGACGACCTCGCTGAGGTGAGCGCCGTGCACCATGAAAAGCAAGCGGCAGTGGAGCTGTTGGGTGAGACATATCAGCAAACCCAGGAAGCGGTGGACTGTTTGTTTGCCGACAACACCAACGCCATGACTGCTGAGGACCTTCTGCATCTACCACCCCCCAGCGAGCTGACGCCAGTGCAAGTGGTGCTCATACTCACAGACTTCGTGTACATTCTTTATTTGTTCATCACAATGGCAAGACTCTCGTTCAAGGGCCGCTGGTTTGATTTCTGGTTCCGAAAGTTCCCCAGTTTTTTTACGGCCCTCGTTTGCTTGGAAATTTTTGACCTTGTGGATTTCAACATCACCTGGGAGCTGGTGGCGATTATTGTGCTCGTTGCCGTGATAGACCTGGGCTGTATTCGCCGCATTATCCCTCGGCGCAGCTGGTTCCACCCCTACCTGCTCTTCGTCATCGCCAGCTGGATTGCCATACTCTCCTTCATCCAATACTTCTACAATCAGACATTACGGTCATGGGTCGACCAAAAGTGCCACGTGAAATCAATTCCCAGACATATCGATTATCACCCCACCGTCGATATGCTATACTTTGATTGTAACTTATCCCTGGACGCAGTGGTGCTCAAGCTGGAACTTGACGAGCTGGCGCCACCGGAGATTGTCAACTGCCAGCTCGAGTGTTTCATATGCGTGGCACCGATATCGTTGCCCGTGGTTATCGATCCTGACAACGAATATTGTCCTCGTAAGAAGGAGTATATGGTCACTCCCTGCTGCCACGTATTCCACGCCAAGTGCTTGAAGCAGTGGATGGAACGTAAGCGTCGATGCCCCATGTGTCACCTGAAATTGCCTCGATACGAGATGTATGAGACTATGGCATTTGCCGAGACCCTGTAGCCAGATTGTGTAAGTAGCTGTGAAATTGAGCGGAATGTAAGTGATATTCAGCGTTCAGCTTGAAGAAGCCATCGTGTATGATGTCAGCTCATTAGTAGCTTTGAGGGGGAGATCAATCGGTACTATCTTCAACCCACACTTGTTTGCGCCAGGTAGCGCTGAGTTGATTATAGACTTCCATGATAATTCGGGTATACAAAAACCACGACAGCCAACATAACTAAAGACTGTATGTGATCTCTCATTATTGACGATTTGGAGATTCTGTATGACGGTGCTGACTACAAGTTCATCAAAACCTCTTCGCGGGGCACTAGACTGGTAAGAAATTTAGAAGCCTCTGGAAAAATATGGACACCGAGACTTCTGCCTGATTATGATGACAATCACAGCTAACAACCATTGAGCACGAGGCTCGAAGTTCTGGAGTATAAAGTTGTATTTTCGTCAAAAAATATAAATGCCATCAATATCAACTACCCTTGTTTAGTTGGACGAGGCCGTTCGGACTCTTTTAACTCGACTGGAGTCCACCGCTTATTAATGAAATGCTTGACAACGTCAATCAGAGCAATAGCGTCTTCGGCACTATCGTGTTCGCCCAGCTGGATGCGACGGGCCAAGAACTCAAACAGAAGGTCTTTGAGCGACATGCGGAACTTAGGGGTTGGTTTATGTGGGGGGAAATGGATGGCGGTGTCTACCACTCGGTGGTGGACAATCCGTAACGTACGCAAATCGTTCTCTAGTCCGTGGCCGACAAGAATGGTATCCTTATTCATAAGCGTTTTAAGTAATTCAATGGCTGCGTCAAACAGGAGGGCATCGTCCGGGATTTCCAGCACCCCGGACCAAGTAGTGTTGAGGTCGATCACCTCGCCATAGGGACGAGTATGAAGGTCTAGAACGGTTTCATTCAGGAAGAAGTCAACAACAGTCACTCTAAGCATTTCAAACCCTTTGGTGGTGTACCCCATCTCACAATCAACTCCTAAAGCGGTGAAATCAGCCTCCTGAGTCCATGTATCGGTATCGACATAAGGGATCGCCCATGCCATCTCTTCGGGAGAGTCCCAGTGGAACACATGGTGGTCAGAGGTAGTACAAGTTTCGGTGCCAGCTGCTTCACCGAGTGAAGCACCACAGCACTCGTAGAAGCGGGAAGTACCGGGCCCGCCCATGCGTTTGATCTTCCCAGGGTGGTACTTGCACTGGGTCTTATCGAGCTGGTCTTTGAGTAAGAACAGTGCTTCACACCGTTTACACGTTCGCTGGTAATTAGGGTGGTCCACTGGAGTAGGTACTTTGACGGTGTAGCCAAACGCTTCGAGTTTAGCGTCGTTAATGACGTATTTCTCAAGGTAAGTCATCATTTCCCGCTGGGACATCTTGGTTTTGGTAATGTCAGTTCCATCAAGTCCCTTACCCTTCTTAATATCGTAAAGTTTGCGTCTGATTGCCTGAGGATACGAGTGTTTATTGGTGACTTTGGCCACGGCATACTCTTGTTCAATCGCCCACTTATTTGGGGTAGGCCAATTGGGCTCAATATTGATGATGCAAGCAGCAATAAGCTCAACAAACTTCTTACGATCTTGAAGCATAGCTGGTCCACCTCCCTGGGGTAAAGGGCGAGGCATGATCACTTTCACGTCCTCTTCTTGCTCTGGCAATTTCTCGCCCATGAGACGTCCCATACGTTGTTTATAGTCACTAGTCCCCTTCGCGTCCTCGGCTACTGACTTTTCTTGAGCCATTGCCCGGCGATTGGGCTGGGGAGTGCCGATCAGCTTCAAGTAGAGGGCGAGCTTGCGGAGGTGTATCAGCCTCGTGGCTCGGTCTACCGCACACGGGTCGACGGCTTCAGGGATAGTGATACGGGAGTCTTGTTCCAAAGCATTTTCAACTTTATTGGAGGACAGTGGCTCAGGTTTAGCCCGTTTGGCTGGGGGCGATAATAGTGAGGCTGAGGATAAGGGGGCAGTAGGCGATTCTGGAGCCGGCCGTTTGGCTCGAGTACCATTTTCTGGAGTTTGTGAATGGTGGAAGATGCAATTAAGCACCGTACACTTCTGGTTTATTCGGATCAGGGGGCATGGGATGGTGGCGAACAACCGCTGGGGGTGGGTGAACATCGCGACGCCATCACTCTAGGAAAGAGAGCGCATGAAAACCGGCCACTAAAACCAGCAATTTCACTTGAAAATGACACAAAGTATCGGTTAGTGGGGTCAAATATAGGCTAGCGAGCTTTAATAATTGTTCAGGGGAACTTGGCGCCGATTTACGAGGTATAATTGCTACCATTACTAAAGGCACAAGAGGGGTCGAATCAGGGTCAACTAGGAGTCAATTGAAGCTGAAATCAGATCAATTAAGAGTGGTATGTTACTGTAGTCTATTTTCGCTATCTTTATATTCGTCGAGTCATTATGTATGGAAGTTTACTTGATGTACTGCTTGAACTTTTCCACCTCGCCCTTCGAGCCCATCCAGATGCCGGACTTGTCGTGGATGCCCTTGGGGAGCAAGTCAAGGATGCGTTCGCCCTTGTCGTTGATGGCGGCACCGCCAGCTTGTTCCATCAACATCGCCATCGGGAAGCATTCGTAAAGGATACGGAGCTTACCGTTCTTGGACTTAGAGTCGGCGGGGTAGGCGAAAATCCCCCCGTACAACAACGTCCGGTGGGCGTCGGCCACCATCGACCCGATGTACCGCGCCGAGTAGGGCTTGCCATCGGCTTGAGGCTTCTTCAAGTCGGCAAGGTATTCCTTGACGTATTCGGGCCAGTAGTAGGAGTTACCTTCGTTCAACGAGTAGATCGAACGGAACTCGGGGATGTGCAAGTTGGGCTGGGTGAGGATGAACTCGCCGATGTTGGTGTCGAGGGTGAACCCGTTGATGCCGTGGCCGGTGGTGATCATGAGGTGGGTCAGGGCGCCGTACATGGTGTAGCCGGCCACCACCAACTCCGAGCCCTTGCGCAACACGTCGTTAATCAGGCCCTTGGAGTCGTCCTTTAAGCGGTAGACACCGAAAATGGTACCCACCGACACACCGGCGTCGATGTTGGACAGCCCGTCGATGGGGTCGGTGCACACGGCGTAACGCCCGTTGCCTTCGAAAACAATGAGGTCTTCTTGTTCTTCAGATACAAGCACTTTGACGTTGCCACTCAGCTTCATGGCGTTGATGAAGATCTCGTCACCAATGACATCGAGCTTCTTTTGCACGTCACCGGTGGAGTTGGCCGAGCCGGAGATCCCGATCAAGTTGACCAATTCGGCGCGTCTGATGTTGTGGGCGATGAACTTGAAGGCAAACTGGAGGGCGTTGAGCAAAAGCGACAACTCCCCCAGCGCCTGCGGGGCGACGGCGTGCTGTTCCTCGATGATAAACCGGGAAAGGGTGATGATGTCGGTCTCGACATTCATCTGTTCGGCGGCGGACTGGAACGACATGGCTTACGAGGGTAAAATGGTGATAAAATTTGTTGCAAGGGGGGTGGTGTCTTAGTTTATAAAGGGTTCTACCCCACGACCCGGGACGCACCGGGTCGGACACATGGAAGCTTGCGCCGGCATAGTGGCACAAACCGGGGGAAATGACGATGTCGCCGGTGAAAAATCGGCCACAAAAGGCGCCAGTGATTACTACCGTGTTAGTCAATAATAATTGCCTCGAAATTAACCACTTAGTCGTGGGGTTAGTGGCGGTTACTGACGCTACGGAGGTGTTCTCCCGCGGATTGGGCGCGCCCGTGAGCCCCCGGGGCCGACGCTCCAGCGACGGTTTTTGGCGCGAAAAAACAGACAACCCGCGACGTAGCGCCAGCGTGGAACGTCCGGGGTTTACATTAGGAGGACGCAAACCCGCCAATAACACGTCACCGCTACCACGAATTTGGCCGACTAGTGACCTTTGGGGCCGCTGATGACGGTAGGACGCCTCACGTGAGTAACACCAATGACTCCTAAACCTTACTAAGCCTGCTTTCTCACCCTTGCCCTTAGTAATGGGAGCGCTGAGCGCCGTGACGACTTTACACACAAATGCCTTATTCACGAGTCCAGCCGGGGCGCGCACACGCGCTGGGCGCTGTTTATATGTGGGCGCGCCCTCCCCCGCCGCCTCATCCGGGGTGAAACCACACCCGTGCAGCAAACATCAGTGCAGCAAACACCATTGCAGCAAACACTCGTGCTACAAAGTGAGGTCGCGGAAATTCGCGAGCCAATCTCCGATCAAGGTAATGGGCTATGGCTGAGGGGGAGATGCGCACCTCAGTTCATTACGAAATCTAAGATGGGCTAAGATAAAAACGCTGATCCACTACCAGGGTTATCATGATCACCGTCGTGACCTACTGGCGAAGTCGCTGACAATTTTTTCCCAAAATAGAAGGGTCACTGCCCCCCAGGACTCAGCCTCGAGGGTGATCTTGTGCCTCGAGCCACAGGTCTTGGCCTCGTCATCGCTAGGGTTGCAGCATCAGGGCGCAGGGCGCAGACATATATAAACAAGCGCCGCCGGCGCTAGTGTCAGTTATACGAGCATCTTCACTACATCATGGGCCACCACCAACAACAACAATACTACCAGCAGCCATACTACCAGCAGCCACCGCAGCCGGTGTATGTCCAGCAGGCGCCCCCTCCCCAGAGCAGCGGGTGCTGCGGGCTGTGTTGCGGGGCGTGCTGTGGGTGTTTGACCGCCATCATCTGCTGTGGCTTGCTCGGTTGATCCGTGTTCTATAGACTTTGTACATTATTTATCATTCAATACATTCATATAATTGGTATTTGTACTTTTTAAAAATGTTTAGTGACTTAGCCGCGCGCGACCGGAGTCAATCGTAAGAAGGCACTTTTAGCTCGTATCTAATGCGAGTGATTAATTGGTGTTGAAGCCGCGGTGTTTGTCAAACCTTTCACTATTTCTTTTTCAATCACACGAGTCTGCCGTTGAGCTCAGTTTGAAGTTAGTTTGAGTCATAAAGCTACGTACTACTAACAATAGTCAGTAAATCAGTAAATATTTCTATTAAAACACACAATAGTCCTCCACACTAAGTACATTCCTGTCATCGCCATCCTCTATTGACCCAATATTTTGGTCACCCTCCCTCGTTTATCGTTGTTTAATCCATACCCCATACTCTGGGTACTCCTCCCACTAAGGCTCGCGCACGCGTCGGCGCGCGTAGCGGCCACGGTAGCACGAAAAAAGTGCCACCTGTTTAAATGCGTGAAAAATCTCACCCAGTACGCACTCGTCGGCAACACCCTTAGTGAGAGAATAACACGCCCGCGATGTCGTTCCGTGTGCTTGACTTGACAAAGCCGTTTTCGCCGTTTGTGCCCGAGGTGATCGCTCCCGAGCGCAAGGTGCTGTTCCAGCAGAAAGTGATGTGGACGGGGGTGACGTTGTTGATCTTCTTGGTAATGCTGGAGATCCCCCTTTACGGGATCGCCCTGAGCGACTCGCTGGACCCGTTGTACTGGTTGAGAATGATGCTTGCCCTGAACCGGGGGACGTTGATGGAGTTGGGGATCTCCCCCATTGTGTCGGCGGGGATGGTGTTCCAATTGTTGCAGGGGACTAAGATCATCCAGGTCGACATGCTGGACAAGCACGAGCGCGAGCACTTCCAGGCGGCGCAGAAGTTGTTTGCCATCTTGTTGGCGGTGGGCCAGGCGACCGTGTACGTGTTGACGGGGATGTACGGCCCCCCGAGACAATTGGGCATTGCCGTGTGCCTTTTGCTTATTTTGCAATTGGTGTTTGCCGGGGTTGTTGTTATCCTTTTGGACGAATTGTTGCAAAAAGGTTACGGTTTGGGGCTGGGTATCTCCCTCTTCACCGCCACCAACGTGTGTGAACAAGTGTTCTGGAAGGCGTTTGCCCCCACCACCTTCAACTCTGGCCGGGGTGCTCAATTCGACGGCGCCGTCGTCGAAATGTTCCACTTGTTGGGCTCGGGCAAGGACAAGAAGCGCGCCCTTTTGGAAGCGTTCTACCGCCCCAACGCCCCCAACATGTTCCAGTTGCTCGCCACCATCGTCGTGTTCTTCCTTGTGGTGTACCTCCAAGGGTTCCGTGTCGAATTGCCCGTGAAGCTGACCCGCCAACGTGGTCCTCACGGCTCGTACCCCATCCGGTTGTTCTACACTTCTAACATCCCCATCATGCTCCAGCTGGCGTTGCTGCTGAACATCTTCATCGTGTCGCAGATGTTGTTCATGAAGTGGCCCAAGAACATCTTCGTCAAGTTGTTGGGTACCTACGACGTCCGTCCCGGCCAATCGCAATTGTTTGCCGTTGGCGGGTTGGCCTACTACATCCAGCCGCCGATGTCGTTGACTGAGGCGTTGATGGACCCGATCAAGACTTTGATCTACGTCGCCTACGTCCTCGGGTCGTGTGCGGTGTTCCTGACCACCTGGATCGAGATTGCCGGCTCGTCGCCCAAGGACGTCGCCAAGCAGTTCAAGGACCAAGGGCTCGTCATTGCTGGCCACCGTGACGTGTCGGTGTACCGCGAGTTGAAGCGGATCATCCCCACCGCCGCCGCCTTCGGTGGTGCCACCATCGGCGCGTTGTCGGTGGCGTGCGACTTGATGGGTACTTTGGGTTCGGGGACGCTGATCTTGTTGGCGTGCACCACCATCTACGGCTACTACGAGTTGGCGGCCAAGGAAGGCGGTTTCGCCAAGTCGATCGTTCCCGGTTTCGCCGACGGTATCTAGTTCCCCTACCCTCCCTCGGGAGATTTCAAAATAATAAACAAAACGATCTGAAACAAAAACATCTAGTAAACTTTTAGTCATGGAACCAAACTCTTGGTGAAAGATAGTAATTTGGTAACAAATTAGCAACACCTAATTCGACTTATCAGCTGATCACACAAATAGGTGATCATTCTCTAAATTAGCTTCAAATCTCTTAATAGTTTTTTCATCATTTGACGGAGCTATCGTCTCGTGAGCGAAGCAGCACCCAGCATATATCTATAAGCTGAACAAGGTATAATTGGCTGTAGATGTTCATTAATTCATTACCTTAGCGGAATGTGGATTGGTCCCTGAGTTCTCGCTAGAGTTCCAAACCGGTGTGTTTGAAGTTACGGAAAGTGAATAAGGTCCACTGGGGATTTCTTCACTTCTATTAAGTGTCGTCCAACGAGCAAAGCGCAAGGGTCCTTAATCCAGTCTACTGGAAGTCTGGAGGTGGGCTCTTTCTGACACATCGCACTGAAAAGCTCTGTAGCTTTCAGTCGTGGCGTGACCGTCAAGTATACCTTATTGCGGACTAGACAGGCTTTCGTCCAATTTTTTTTTCTCTTTTTAGATATTCAATAAACAATTCTATTCAAAATTACTTCCCCGTTTGTAGAGCAATGCGTGCACTGCTGCCATCTGGCACTAGCACGGCGTCGCGTTCCACTAGGACTGACTACCTCTTCCTCTTGGGTTCAGGTAGCGGCCACAGCTGGGTGCCATGGGCGTGACTTATGTCACGTGTCCAAAAATCTGGCCAGATTTTTGGCACTGGCCTCTTGTCCATTAGGTGATGGCTGGTTCACGTGGTCAACGTAAACAAAAAACAGTGTCAGGTGGTGACGCAAGATCCCTGACGCAAGCGAAGTCGGTTTGTGTCATGATTACGGGCATTTAAGGTTTGTATCTAGTGCTGGTATATTGACAGTTTTTGCTGGTCGCACTTTGTTTTTCTTCTATGACGTCATCAGGGTTCTGGTGTGTGTAGTGGTTGCAAGGTAACCCTGCCCCGCCCCCTCACTATTAGGGGCTATAAATAAAACAAATCGTGACACCACCAGTAAACACCAGCAAACGATGATCACGACTGAGACCAACCCGGATATGGTTTTCTAATATTTCAAATACTATTCCAAGTATAAACGAGACCTAGCGTACCTATTCATTACCAATAACTGTACCATGGTTCTTTTGGTTTCCATCTCAGCTAAAAAAAACGGTGCCTTTTAATTTTGAGCCCTGCATTTACACCCCGTCAACCTACCGCGCATCTCATTTCGGTGTGTGATCCCCTCAGCAAACAGGAATTTTCGGAGCGTGCCATGACGTACGTTTAAGTCCAGCATTGAGCACCACTTACACGTTTTTCACGTTGCTGTTGCCAAGCCGGCCTCGGTTTCACCACATGTTTCATCAATCATTTTAGTGTTTTAGCCCCCGTAAACTAGTGTTGACAAACAAGGTAAAACTTTACGTAACTCGATCCCGATATCCTAACCACCGTGTCGCCTCCGCTCGGCTGTTCGCACCGACCGATCGAGACCACCGCACCTCGCCTATAGTAGCCATTCTTTACAATGTGAAACAGTACCTGAAACCACCACCTACCCTCAGCAGAGCCCGCCCCAGCCAAATTTTCTCTTCACCACCACTTGCCACCACCCACGCGTCTGCCCCTGCCACGTTCTCTGGGGATACCGCCGCCCGGGGGAAACCTGGAGCGCGGATCCGCGCCCCGTCTCTATCCAGGAGGCGCACAAATTTCTTTATTAGCCCCGAGCCACAAACTTTCTGACGTTTGTTTTCTCACCTCTCCCACACCATGACCGTGGCCAGCGACGGAAAGGCACACCCGTACTCGCAGCTTTTCCAGCCGGCGACGATGGCGCCGACGATGGCCGAAATCGAGCTGGACATGCTGGCGCTTAGCGTCGGCGGTGATGGCGACGACGACGACCACGGCGCCCACGGCGACTACGCCCCCCCACACGCCGCCGGAGCGATGCTGCCGGCGCCGTACCCGGAACTGGACTACGGCAACGAAGCGCCGGTGTCGCCCATCAAACCCACCGGCGGCGCCATCACCATGGTCGACTCGCCGCCGAAGTCGCCGCCGAAGTCGCCGGCATTCACCGCGCACGAGCGCTACTACTCGCCGGAATTGGAATTACCCCAAGACGCCGCTACCGAGGGTATTGACCCTAATATCGACGCCTTCCACCCGGGGTACGCCGATGTCGGCAGCGGTTTTGGCGACGATGAGAACCCCATGGGTCAGCTGTACCTGCTGCAACGAATCGAGCCGTTCCCCTCAGATATCCCCTCAGGAAAAAGAACTCGGGATAGAGACGTGCTGACGCCTACAGTGCAAATCCACCCGTTTAACCCTCACGAAGCTTATCGTGATTCTCCTCAACCAGCATCGGTGTACCTGGACCTGAGCCTGTCGCAACCGGGCGGCTTCCAGGCGTTCCCTACGGAACCGATGGCGCCCACCGATAACTACGGTAACCCGGCGCCGTCCTCAAATAAGCGCCAGTCGCATCCGTACACGTTGCCGGCGCATCTCCAACCGCAAGTGCCGCCAGCGATGGGAGCACCCGCTCCCGGCGCCGCTCCGGGGGCTCCTGGGGCCCCCCAGCCTCCACAACAGCCGTTCAACTACCACTCGCAGGAGATGAGCCCCGAGCGCGGCGCCGCGCCGGCGTTGTCGCCGCGCTTCGCCACCCGCATCTTGGGCGAGCTGCCGGGGCTGAACTCGTTGCTGGCGCTGTCGCTGGTGACCAATTTGAACCTTAATCATGGGCCGGGACCTCAGGAATTGATGCTGCGCCTGGAAACGCTGTTGCTTGTCCCCGGGGCCACCAACCCCGCCATCTCTCCCGCCAAATACGGCCACACCCGCCTGATGTCGCTGCTGCTGCTGTTTTTCTACGACCGCAGCGACACGGCGCTGATGGTCGATTTCAGCCAGAATATCATCCAGCAGTACTTGGGCTCCAACCTGAGCCACTTGGTGCCGAGAATGAAGACTATCGAGTTGTACCGTACCAACGCCAAAAAGCTGAAGGACCCCACGGTGATCTTCCAGTTTGCTCAGTATATGTTGCAAACGGCGCTCATGATGGACGACGAGCCTCCCGCGGGCGCTACTAAAAGCAGCACTGCGCCTAGCACCAAAGCCCGGTCGCCAGTGCTGCCGCTGCGTCGTGGCGGCACCGGCACCAACGGGGCTCCCTCGCTGCCTTCTGAAGTCGATGAACGCAAATTGCGCCGTTCTTTAATCAAAGAAGCGGTACACTACCTTAAGAAATTGCTGGATAAAGGGTACACTGAAGCCCAGTACCTCTTGGGTGATGCTTACTCCTCTGGAGCCTTAGGCAAAGTGGAAAACCGTGAAGCTTTCGTGCTCTTCCAACAAGCGGCCAAGCACGGCCACGTCGAACTGGCCTACCGTACTCTGATTTGCTTTGAAGAAGGTTTGGGGACGGGGCGCGATGCTCGTAAAGCCGTCGACTACTTAAAGATCGCTGCCTCTCGCAACCACCCGGCGGCGATGTACAAGTTGGGGATGTACATGTTCTTTGGTCGCATGGGGATCTCGCGCAACATGAACAACGAGAAGATGGGGATCAAATGGTTGACGCGGGCGCTGAACGTCGCCAACGAATTAACCGCGGCGGCGCCCTACGAGTTGGGTAAGCTCCACTTCCATGGGTATAAGGATATCGTCATCCCCGATCAAAACTATGCTCTTGAGCTTTACGCTCAGGCAGCGGCGTTAGGCCACGTTGAAGCCGCAGCGCTTCTCGGCCAGTTCTATGAAGTCGGGGAAGTGGTGCCTCAAGACGGTACTTTATCAATCCACTACTACACTCAAGCGGCGTTGGGAGGCGACCCCGAGCTGATGCTTGCCATGTGCGCCTGGTACTTAGTCGGGTGCGAGCCCCATTTACCTAAAGATGAGAACGAGGCGTTTGAGTGGGCTCGGCGGGCAGCTCAATGCGGTTTGCCCAAGGCTCAATTCGCCGTGGCAAACTTCTACGAGAAGGGTATTGGCTGTATCAAGAACGTCCAGGACGCTCAGAAGTGGTACGTGAAGGCCGCCGCCAACGGCGACGAGAAACTGTTGGCCCGCATCACCGACCGCCAGCAGGCGGCGAAGATCCAGCAGGAGATGAAAAAGAAGCCCAAGAAGCAAAACAACTTGGGCCCCAAAGGCATAGACGACAAGGAGTGCGTGATCATGTAAGCGCACCCGCTAATGAATAAACTGACATCGATTTTAAATCAATAGTAGTGACTACCTAAATATTTAGTTCTACTTAGACGTGTACGCGTTTGACTAGCTTGCTTTTGTGACTGTGGACTCGGTATCAAAAGGCCTAACAAGAATTGGTGTGATCTTTCTAATACAAAAAAAATACAATAAGAGTTTCTCCCTGAATGCTCAAGAAGTGGATTGTTGCTCAATTGATCCTAGTCGAACTTATAATTTCAAATTAGACGTGTAGTTCTTTATTGAGCCCACCTTAGGCGTTAGTCTCTATTTGGATGTATAGTACTTAGCTTTACGTTTCGTTTCGTACTAGATGTATCATTTCTAAACGTATATTTCGTTAACGTGTATTGGCCTGCCATATCTAAGCGTTTTCGTGCTTTTCCGGCTTGGGGGTGGTGACGGCTTCAATAAGCATTTCCACCACCTTATCCTTGTGATCCTTGTAGTGGGCTTGAATGGCGTCCAATTCCTTTTGCACGCTCTCATCGGCCTTTTGCTTCGTCAGCTCGTTGAGCCCCAGGTGCTGCTGTTCGTAGGCGGTGACTTCGCCTTCCTTGACTTTCTTGTATTCGTCAATTTCCTTCTGCGCGTCCAGCTTCGCCGACTTGAGCCGGGCGGTACGGTACTTTCTCGCCTCGTTGACGATTTCCGCCGCCTCCTTTTCTGTCTTCAACAACGATTGGATCCCAGACATGGTGGAGCAGGTGGTTGCTTAGAGGTATACAGAGTGGACGTTTGTACCCGTGCGGGTGCGTTGTATGCAGGTGGTTCTCAGATATCGAGTGAGCATAATGACAACTTAGACCGTTAGAGACCATAGGCAGTGAATGTATTTGTCTGAATTTTACAAGAGTTAAAAGTTTGCATTTAATTATTCTAGACTTATTGGGGTTTTTCGATTACGACAACTAAGTGAGCACGAACCAACATATTCTACTAACACCAAATGATGTGGCCTTTTTTAGAAAAAGGTCGTTTTATCGATCATTTTTATACCCACTGAAAGTAATCGTATACTTGATGGGGAGTCAATTAGAGCCCAATAAACTTGTAATGTTATTTTATTAAAGGCGGTGCCTGACTAATATACACGTGTAAATGCTTCCCCTTTGAAATCTACGACGACTTACCCAATTCGCCACATTCTAACAAAAACTCGTCCGGGGGGATGACATCGGTACCACCGTAGACCACGGTCTTCTTCGACTTCTCCGCCCACTCTTGCAAATTCTGGTACTCGTAGTAGTTGGCGCCGCCGATCATGAACACCATCAGCTCGTTGTAGGTCAGCCGCTTCGGCTGCTTGGAGCCACGGGTCTTGGGGTCGAAGTAGACGTAGTTGTCGGTCACTTGCAACGTGTCTTGAGGAGCGGTCTGCGGGTCCATCAACGCCTGCACCACTTTAGTGACGGGCAATTCTCTCTTTTCGGGGATGAACAGCTTCACCTTCAGGGCAATCAGCGTCAACCCTTCCGAGATCCGCCCTTCAGTTAACCCGTACAACTTCAGTGACAACAGCAGCAACGCCGACAGTTGCGCTGCCTGGGTGCCGGACCCAGAAAGCGACCCCAGACCCATGTCGCTGAGGTTGGTCATGTTGGAGATCTGTTTAAACTTGGTGATGTAGTTGTATGCCGCCAAATCAACGCCGTGGTCGGCGAACCAACCCGACACCTTGGTCTTGTAATCTTCGGGGAGGTCTACAAGAAGCACCATGATCAAAAACGTACGGTACTTGTCGTTGGTGTTCGAGCCCAGCGTCGGTTGCAGCTGCAACAACTCGTAAAATTCGTTGAGCAGCTTGGGATCCTGGCAGTTCAGCTCGATCTCAAAGAACTTGTCCAACAGCTTCGCCTGAAGCTCGCTGATCAACAGCGCCAAGATGTCCATGTGCATGTCCAACGTCGCCTTACGGGCAGTAAGCTCGGGCAACGCGTCCACTGCCTGTTGGATGGCCAGAGTGGAGGCGGCGTTGTTGTCAATGTCATCCAACGACGTGATCCCGGTCTTGTTGGTCAAATCGGCAGCATCCTTCTTGTAGAGGTTAAGCTCAGTGTCGGCGTGTTCGACGACATCGGGGAACGGCAATTGAGCGTAGCTGTTCCAGAAAAAGTCCTTGGGGTCGACGTCGTAGCTCTTTTCCTTGGGCTGGCCGTTTTCACCCTTGACGGTCAATTTGATGGTGTTACGCTTAAGACTGAACACATCGTTAACCATCACCTGGTAGATCCACGAGTGGGCAAACATCGACAGCAAATCGAGGTTACGGTCCAACAAGATGAGCACGGGACGGGCACCGTCGCTGGTGGCACCGGTGTTGGTCTGTAAGTGGTCGCGCAACTTGACGTTGAGCTGAGAGGCGACAAACTCGGCGGCACCTCCTTGGGGAGCTCTAATAATGGGGATCAGACCCATAGTATTGACAATGGCCACAAGTCCCAGGGCAATGCGGTCGGTCCAGGTAGCAATTTCCTCCTCAGTGGTCTTCGACGATGAGAACTTGTAGAACATCCCCTTCATGTCCAACGAGAACAAATTGGGTTCAGTGACGATAAAGTCGATGTACTGGTCCCACACAGACTTAATCTTCAGTGCTTTACCGCAAAGGGACACTTTTTTGGCGAACTCTTCGAGCAAGTCCCGCGGCAACGAAGAGGTGAAGTTGATGTAGAACGCGTCGTATTTGTCGTTTTGCAAGTCGTCGACGAGCACCATGACGTTGTCAATGGTCGGTTCAACAAGGTACACCGCCAGCACGTCGGGCATGGGCAGCCGAGGCAGCAGCAACAGCGCGTGCAACGTCACCCCCAACTTGAGGAGGTCGTTCACCCGCAACACCAGCGACACCACGGCTCGCGCCTTGGCGTCCATGATGAGCACCTTCCACGCCAACTCGCCTTTCTTCTGCGGCAGGAGCATCTGCTCCAACCGCTCGATCTGCTTATCCCGGAGCGACATGTTTGTGGACACGTTTCGCGCGAAGTGAAGCGCGAAGTGGTAGGGGTCACTGGTGGGGAAGTGGCCAGCTAGCACCCACCAATTGGCCCGTGATCAGTAATATTAACATGCTGAAATTGATAGTTTATTAAACCTTATAAGAGTATCCGTGAATTCCTCTACTGTTCGCTTCGACTGCGCCAGTTGTTGTACTAGCAAGCGCTTCTCTCAATCCCCACCCACAACGCGAAGATGCTTGTGCTTTATCCTAAATTCTTCTTGAATCTCTTTGATGATACTAATGTTTGATTTCTTTCATGTGCTATACCTATAGCTTTGTTTGGAATGGCATCATGTTGATATCTAAAATTACAAGTTGTCAAACATGAACTGAGGAAATCGAATACTAATTTCAATACGTAGAACTGATGACAATACCTGGATATGGGCAATTTACTAAATCGCTGCTTTTGCAACAACACTCCCCTCAATTGTAGCATCGTTGATGGTACCACTGATAGTGGCGTGCGGCCCGACCGATTCGGCCTGGTAATACTACGAAAAGATTATGCTAGGTGATTGCCGAATTTTAGCAATTAACCAACGAAAGTTTCAAAATTGGCTTCTAATGGAAAAGTGAACACCCTTCAAATCATTACTTAATACACTTTATTGTGGAGGTTGATTTGGCCATCGCGCGGAGCCCCTCCAGAGGTGGCGATCCCGATCCAGCCGCACCGCCACCCACCTCAAAATAGCAGCAAAACTCGATCAATCGGCCAAGAAACTATTCACAAAATTACTCAATAAGCTAATTAACCACCAAACACACCATTGGTTACTCAAACTCCACTAATCATAGTATAGCTCATCCATAACCTTTACGTCTAGCTTAACTTCTTCGCGCTCATCAAGCGCGGGTGTTGAAAAAACTCCCTATGCTCCAACTCCTCAACCCCAAGGCCGAGCTGTTGCGCCGGCAACAGGCGTTGCAAGTGAACATTGCCGCCGCCCAGGGCCTCCAGCAGGTGCTTGCGCTGAATCTTGGACCCCGCGGTACCCTCAAGCTCCTCGTCGACGGGCTGGGGGGCCTCAAGTTGACCAAGGACGGCAAAGTGTTGCTCACGGAAATGCAGATCCAGCACCCGACCGCGATCATGATTGCCCGGGCCGCCGCCGCCCAGGACGAGATCACCGGCGACGGTACCACCTCGGTGGTGTTGCTTGTCGGTGAGCTTTTAAAGCAGGCCGACCGCTACGTGTCGGAAGGTGTACACCCGCGGGTGATCGTTGACGGCTACGAACAGGCCAGAGAAGCGGCGCTCCAGTTCCTTAACCAATTCAAACACACCCGTCTGGATTTCGACCGTGAGTTCTTATTACAGATCGCTCGTTCGTCTTTGGCGACGAAGGTGCCTGCGGAATTGACCGACGTTTTGACCCCTGTGGTTACTGACGCCGTCCTCCAAGTACGCCAACCCGACCAGCAATTGGACCTCCACATGATCGAAGTGATGACGATGCAGCACGGCACTGCTCGCGACACTGAATTGATTAAAGGTTTAGTGCTTGACCACGGTGCCCGCCACCCGGACATGCCCCGCCGTGTCGCCAACGCCCACATCTTGATTCTCAACGTCTCCTTGGAGTACGAGAAGACCGAGGTCAACCTGGGCTTCTTCTACTCGCTGGCAGAGCAGCGCGACAAGTTGGTGGCGCTGGAGCGAAAATTTGTTGACGCCAAGTTGAAGAAGATCGTGGACTTGAAGAACCAAGTGTGCCTGAACGGTGACGGGTTCGTCATCATCAACCAGAAGGGGATCGACCCGATGTCGTTGGACGTGTTGGCTAAGCACAACATCCTTGCTCTCCGTCGGGCTAAGAGAAGAAACATGGAGCGTTTGCAGCTCATCTGCGGCGGTGAAGCCCAAAACTCCGTTGACGACTTGCTGCCGTCAGTATTGGGGTGGGCCGGCATGGTCTACGAAAACGCTATCGGCGAAGACAAGTTCACTTACATCACTGAACCTAAGGACCCCAAGGCAGCCACGGTGTTGATCCACGGGCTGAACAACCACATCGTCACCCAGGTCAAGGACGCGGTGCGCGACGGGTTGCGTGCCGTCGCCAACGTCATTCGCGACGGTGCCGTCGTCCCTGGTGCTGGCGCCTTCTGGTTGAGCGCCGCCCACCACCTCAGGCAACCTCTGCTTGCTAAGGGTAAGAACAAGGCCGGGTTCAACGCCTTCGCCGACGCGTTGTTGGTGATTCCCAAGACCCTCGCCGCCAACGCTGGGCTCGATACCTTGGATGTGATGGCTCAATGTGAAGACGACATCCACGCCGGCGAAGTGGTTGGGGTTGACTTGATCTCGGGTGAGCCCATGGACCCTTCGGTGGACGGGGTGTGGGACTCGTTCCGGGTGGTACGCAACGCCATCGCCGCCGCCACGGGGATCGCCCTGAACTTGTTGTTGTGCGATGAGTTGTTGAAGGCAGGGCGCTCGTCGCTCAAACCGGAGCAGTAGCATGAGGGATTAAACTAAATATATAATGAGTAGATAAACTATTGAGGATAATATGAAGTTCGTAAACTGATTGGTTGCTGTTGTAGTGCACTTGGCTGGTGATGGTAGCGCCGCGCGCACCCCGGGCCGTCGCCGTCTCGTACGGATCATAACAAGGACTATGTTAGCAAAACAATGAATTCATTCCACTTTTGCGATGAACTGTAATATACTCAGGTCCTTCTTTATTTTTGATTGGTTGATGTGGATTTAGGCAAATGATCTTGACTCAGCAAGCATGACCAAGTTCAGGAAGGGATCACCTATATTGACCCTACCGTGATGAAGATTCTGTTGACAGACGTGCCGATGGTTAAAGAGGTTTGCTAATATGTGGATGAAATTACATGAACTACATACGGATTGGCTTATGTTCCATCAAAGAGATAACGTGTGATTCCCTTCAAATTTTTTACACACTATCCTAAGTATATCTTCTTCCATATTGGGTCACTGGCACTGATTGCTTGACCAATCGGCAAGGGTTTATCCCGGTATACACGTGGCCATACAACCACTGAGAGCCGGTGCCCCTCCAGCCACAGGCGCATTTACCCATCAGCTTAAGGATAAACTGGATCGGAACGAATATCTGCCGACTGTCAGTGGTAAAGTGGCGGCGGAGCATGTGGTCGCGGGCGGGGATGCTCAGCGCTCCCGGCACTCGGAAATTGACACAGGTGGTATGCGATTGAAACTCACAGGTATAAGACCCCTCCTTGAGGTGGGAGTTGATGTGATCAGTCATTGCTCCGGGGGATGTCGTGGTACTGTTACAAATGGGACACCGGCGAACGTCTGAATTTTGTGTAGTTTCAGGAACTGGTGTGGCAGCTGGTATGGCAGCTGGTTTCGGAGCCGGTTTGGGAGCTGGTTTGGGAGTTTTTTGTGCTGTTGTGGCAGCATTTGTCGCCACTTCACCCTTTGGTTCCGTTTCCTGTTTCTGGACGATGGTTTCAGGCGTTGGGCGTGGAGATTCGTGGGGACGTGCAAGTGGTGGTGGTGGTTGGTTGTTTGAGCTTGGCAACCTTACCAGTGGATCAGAAACGCTCTGTTGTTGAACAACGGGAACGTAGCCAGAGCCGTTAGCGAAATTTCTCGCGTGGTAAGTGTACCCACTGCCAGTCATGGTGCTTCCAAAACAATTTGGCTGAGTCGCCTGAATTAAGGGGTTAGGCATACAATGAGGGGCTTGAACGACAAAACGCGGATCACAGTGAAGGATAGGAGAAGTTTGAGTGGTTGGGATCGGTTGACGATGCTGCACTGACTGTAAGCGCCCTATACTCATTAATCGCGCCATTTTTGGGGTATTGGCTCTCGCCGGCGGTATTTTCACGTCCGCTCGCAACGCCCCCCTTGCGAAGGAGATGAGCTCTTCTCGTAGAACTGGCGGCGGTGGCGGCATAGCTAGCTGCAGACGCGTCAAGTCGTGGTGAGGTTGTCGGATTTCAGGTCCATTAAGCATCGCTTTCGTCTGGGCGAAATAATGCGGGAAGTAAGGATCGCCACTCATTTACCGAACCAGCATGGCATTTGTGGTCGTCGTCAATCGTTTATATAGGCTTTGTCTGCAGGTTCTGCTCGTGTATATTGGACAATAGCCAACTCCGAGCACCCTACAGATTCGCCGCGCCTCAAATGCATTTAAAATTCCCCACCACTGGGGTTCCCTGTGGCCTCACTAGGGTGAGCCCAGTGCCTGAGGGTGGGGTTCAACATCAACGACTTGAGGATTAACGTGGTAGTTGACGATTTTACCTCCTCTGGATCTGATCTGATCGACGCACCAATGAGGGGCTTAGCCAATTGACGATACAACAGCGAGCGTCACCAACTGATGGTCAAGTGGGGCGTGATATACGCTGACTGAAGTAAGACAAGCTACTGACTAAACCTTTTTATTGATGACTTTATCAAAGCAGACAACGCTGGCGTGATCTGAACCCATTCTTAAGATTTGTTTCAACCGGGTCGTGTTTCAACACGGCATGCTTGGTCATTTACCCCACCCCCGATACGCGTCGCTCACAGTCCCTCAGCTGATCGTGCAATACTCTCTCACAAGGCCAATAAACGGAAGTGACAGAAGGGGATGAAAGCAGTGGCATAGAGAGCTATGGGTTTCCTAGGAAGATGTCCATCTCTGGTCGTCGATCAGAGACGGTTAACCATATTCCTGTGCCTCCTGGGTCCGATTTATGTGGTCATGGAAGGGATGTTGTCAAGCCACCACTTGGCAACCTCGACCTTACAACTGAAATTTCACTCCACCAATTGGTGATGGCTTTCAATCTACACCAAAAGAGCGATGACTTGCTCTAACCATTGCTTAAATTGTGCTATTAATATGCTCTCTTACTTACTCAATGCCTTCTCTGGGCTAACGGGACACTCTTACTGATAAAGCTTCGGAAAAGGTAACGATTTCGTGTACCGACACGGGTTCTGTTTCGATTTGACATGGCCAATGTACCAGTCCCGGCCTAAGCCGCGCCAGCCACAGACACAGGTGCCAAAGTGGTCGTTCAACTGCCCGTAGGGGATGTTCTTGCCAATATCTTCGTCGGGCTTGAAGTGCTGGTTGTACATATGGTGTTGACAGCTTCTCTCGCCCTCTTCCCGCGGGTACCTGGCCTTACAGTATCCCAGCGGCCAAAACTGACACACCGACACATGCCTATGCGATTCAACGTGGCGGTGCAAGTTTTTGAAGATAAAGATGTGGCACACGGGGCATCGTCCAATGTCATTCCTCAGGCGCGTTGATGCTTGTTTCCCACTGACGTAGGGAGGCGACAAGCGTTTGCTGCTTCTAGGGATCTTCAGATCTTTTCCCTTGGTGATGTGGACAAACTTGTGGGGCTTATCGATGGATAATGACAGTGGGTAGCCCGTGAATGGAGGCTGCACCGATCGATTCCACACGAAATAGGCGAGGAGGACTCGCCCTTCGAACACGAGGTCAAACGATGGTAAGTGGGCGGCTGGCATGGGGAGATGGATATCCCCAGCGGCTTAAATATATGGTAATCCCGAGCGGTAGTTCCCCGCCTCGCCGTTACCGAGCCACATATCGTCACGATGTCGCCCACAATACCAGAATTTTCGTCATCATCATCGCAACAAGCGAACAGATATTCCTCAAGGTCTCCTCAAAGCATAGCCACCGAGTTATCAGCAAATCGAAATGAGTTCTTGTTACCGTTGTGATTAGCATCGATCGAATAGATCTGAGTATATTCGTATTTTTCGGTGTTTCTGACGCGTGGTTGATGTGGATGATCGCCGTGCCTCGTTCGTCTCTCTCATTGACGGTTAGGCGCGAGATGATCGGCAGGATAATACGCGATCTGAATGGGGCTTAGAAGCTTTGCCCTGGCGACGAGAACGATGACGATGGTTATATCCAGGAACCACGCGACCATCGAATAATTGACAATTGTGTGAGCATATGTAACCATCACCGCGTGAGACGAGACTATCCAAACCGCACTTTATCAAGCTCAAAGACATTGAATCCATGCTGATGACATAATAATGCTTATCGATCTCTTGTTGGCACCTCTGCCAAGAGGCATGGGTTAGTTGGCGACAATACGTGGTCATACAACCACTCCTCGGCCCGGCCCTCCCAACCACACCCACAAATCCCAAAATGGTTCATCATTGTGCTGAGCGGGGCTTTCCACGGGTTTAAGATGCGGAAATGAAAGTGGTGGAGAAGCATGTGGTGCTTGTACTCGCTGGCACTGCAATTTCTTGGGCAGTAACAATTGCTGAGTGATGAGAAAAGACAGCCAGTCAACAGGTCGCCGCGATGAGACCTCAAGTGTTTGTTTGCATCCACGCCGCGTGCCGAAACGTGGCCACAAAGCGTGCAAGTTTCCAGAGTCTCGTTCACTTGCGGGGTGTTGGTTTCATTATAAGCCAGTGGCAACAGCTGGTAAGAATGTTGGTGGCTGTGGAATCCGGGTGGCCGAGGAATCTTAGTATACCTCAGTGACGACAAATTGTGAGGGATCGCCAGTGGTGGTACTGAAGAGCCTTGCGGGGGTGCGGCGACAACTGATGGCGCCTGCCGCTCATAGACAATCTGTGAGCCCGGTGGTCGAACATGTTGATAGAATCCTCGAGGTAACAGTGATCGAGAATTCTGATAGAATCCATGAGGTAAATGAGAACCCGTCGCCGTCGCTGTCGCCGTCGCTGTCGAGGGAACGACATTGACAACTGACTGCTTCCTTTGTGCATGATTTCCTGGGGCTGAGGCCGGGGGGACTGGTGGGGGCGGTGGTTCCAACTGATGGGGTGGGAGCGGGGGCGTCTTCCTCTTTAGCATGGCCTCGCTGTGAGCCACATACTGCTCATATTGAATATCCCGAAACTGCATTGATGATAAAATTGAATTGCTACGATTATTGTCAGATTATATCTCCTGGAACTGGAAACTTTAGCTAAATCCTCAGTGCTTCTGGTAGTACTTGCCTCAAGTGGTTTCGGTCGGATTTGTATCAATCTTAATCAGTACCCTTTGCAAATCTATTACTGAGTTCAGCTCTCGTACTATTCCTTACTATATAAAGACAAACCCAAAACAACGTCCTCCTCACCCCACTCCGTTTCAATAAACCCGTGCTCAACATTCAGAATGGTTTTCAATCTGACATTATCCCCATTGTGAGCTTTCGAAAGAATTTGCATCAACCCCAACCGGTACACATCTTCAGCAAAGTTCACGTTCCTTTCATAGGCGGCTAACTTCGCGTTAAGCTGGCAGCGCTGCTTAATGCCATAGCCAGCAAGAGCACTCACCGCTTGTTTGTAGGCTTCGGTAAATTTTGAAGTCGCCTTCTGACGCTTGATTTCGGCTTCAACGTCGTTAAAGTTTGCCCAGGGTTAAGTCAATGGTGATCTGGTCATTTTCCTGGGTGTAAGCGTCGCGATAGTCGTTAATACGCCGTGCCAGCTTCTTTTTATCACTGGCTGATACCTTCGGAATGTCGCTAATAAGCTGTTTAACGGAGTTATCAGTGTTGACGTGTAACGCCAGTAACTGAGCCTGACTTTGTTTGCGGAAACCTCTCCACTAAGTGGTGAGCATCGACATGGCGTCGAAAGATTGAACAGCAGTGGAGATTGCTTTTAGTCTTGTTGACCCTTGCTTGCCTTCCTCCTCCACAATCACCAAGGTAAATTATAGTCATCAGGGAAATTACCGCGCCTGCATTGCAATCGACCCATTATCCTCTTCAACGAATGTCCACTCGGTGTATATTACGCCAATAAGCCCTTTTGGTAGACCCAGGCGATGGCTTGAGCTTCACGGCACATGGTAGCCTTCGACTCACCGGCGTCACAACAGTACTCCACCATAGCACACTTGGTCACGTCGTCAATCATGCGACTGTAGGCATTCACCCCCGCCATGATGTACCCAGAATAGACGGAGCGGTAGCGAGGGTTTGCCGTCAATGACGGTTGGAGCCGGGGCCAGCTGTCATTAAATTGACGGGAAAGCAGTCTCCGCTCTCGCTGGTCATCACTGTGGATTATGTCCACTGCTAAGTCAACCGCAGCAGTAATGGTGGCCGGTGTAGACGACGACGATACCACAAGGGCGCGATCGTCATCGTGGAGAGCATCAGCCCCGGCGATCATGGTGATGAGCACGTTCCAATTGGCAGTGATCACCGGTAACACTTTGTTGTAGTTTGTCGCCAAAATCGGATACACTGATTTTAGCGTTTGCAAAATCAGGTGTTTGAGACGGCGATGAGGTTGTGATAAAAGCTTAAACCCGTAAGTAAAGATCGACAATGCCAATTGCCATGTCGATTGAGGTACGGGCCCTTGCCATTCCACAACGTCAGTGGACGGTGGTTCATCGCCTAATTCGTCGTCTTCGTCTTCTTCATCGTCACTATCTACCATTTCCGAAAACGGAGCGTCTCGTGGTCGAGTGAAGTACTCTTTGGTAGAATCATATTCAGGGTAGGCGATGTGGTGGTTGTCTTCAACGAATTTCGCTAATTGCGCTGAGTTAGACATCCCCCACGGAGCAAACGATGATTCGTTCATGGCAGCGTCCTCAATCTTTGGCGTAGGATCCACGTATTGGCGACTGATTTGTTTAACCACTTCGTGAAATACAAGAAAGAACCCCTCCATGGCCACAGGATAGCCATGGTACAAATCCATTGCCACAAAGATCAGACTGAACACGTCACCCAACATGTTTTGTCCGAGAAGATCGGGGCCACAGAGCTTAATCACCACGAGGAGTAAACCTGGAAGCAGCGGGGTCAAGTCACCACTATTAAGTCTGACGGTGATAGCATCGACCAAGTAGTCCAGATTGTCAGTAATAAGCTTAGCCATCAGCCCGTCGTAGAATTGCTGCGCCACTTGAGTCAAGGCGTGGGCAGCATGGGTGTGGATATCTCCGGGAAATGTAAGGGCCTCAAGCATCGGGTACAAGTAGTCCATAAGCACCAATTGCTGGTACTGGTCTTTAGACACTAAAGCGGAAATTGACCCTAACACGTCAAGAGCCACGCCGTAGCCAAAGCGGACAGACGATGACCCGCCACCAAGAAGTCTCCGATGTAAATCATCAATAAGATCCTCAGCTGCAGTTACAGAAAGCGACATCACATGGTTGTTTTCGTCGCTCTCATCTTCTTCCATGGCTTCATCATCGTCAAAGGCCAAAAACTCATTAACATCAAAGTTAGCCAGCGCTTGTGGCGACAGTTGCGAGACGTGGTTGACTGCCCATAAATTGATCCCCTTTGGTGGGGTAGAACTGAGCAATTGGTCAATCACTTCGGTAAACACTTGGTGACGGGTAGCTAAAGCTCCCACCGCCTGGAGAAACCGCTCCATCGCCGCTTCCACTTCATCACTATAAAAGTCATTGAACCATGAGAGTTTAGTGGTGGCTTCCCCCAAAATATCCTCAGTCTTCGATAACGTCACTAAACTGTGATTATAGGCTTCGGTAGCCGCCGACACCGGGTCGGATTTGGTGGAGATTTGAGCAAGATTTTCTTGGTCAATGTGAGATGGGAGCACCACCTGATGTTCCACTGCTCTATTCACTCGTTTCGGTTTATTATCACGGTCCAACTGATCCTGAACCCCATCACAAAGCACGGTAGCTACGCGAGCAAGCGTCGCTGGCCACCATCCTGAATTGTCCGTCATCACGCGATGGAGGATCTCAAGTTGTAGTCTGATTGAAGTCAATATGTGGAGCACTTTGACGTCTTCTGATGATTGCAAAGTGGGAGCAAACTTAGTGTCGATGAGATTAGGGAGTTTCTGTTTCAAAAGCTTAGTAATAAGCAGGCGTCGGTTATCGATATCGTCTTCTTCGTGGTAGGCAAGTGACATCATTTCCACGGCGGTAATCCCTTCTCCAGCATCACCTTCAGTAGTCATCGCTTCAAACAATGATACCACGTCCACGGCAAGATTATATATCTCGGTGAAAAGACAGTAGAACGAAGTGTGCCATAGTTCGCCGAAGAACGAGATCACGGCTCGATAAAGCGGTTTGATGGCCTGAGGTTTACCCTCCTGGCTATGAGCAATGTTTTTGAAAAGAACCATTAACGATAATTTCAATTGCGTCGCAGTGGCGGTGAGCCAGCTCTGAGTGCGGACCTCAGTAGCCGCGTGTATCTCCACCTTCGTCTCCTCTTTAAACCCTTCCGCATCAGCATTCGCAGCTGCTTGTTGTTGCCAGAGGCGGCGAGGATCGGATTCGACGACGTATGTGGCGTTCAAGTCGCGGTCACTGAACACTTTGCTGATCAACAGTTTAAGCACAGTAATGAGTAGGGTCACCACTGAGTAGTGGACTTTAGTGACATTTTTGGTGAATTTCACAAGTTTTGACACCACACCTGGAAGTACCTGAGCCATTGCTTCCGGGTCCACTACACGGCGAGTGAACAATTGCTTTAACACTTCCAACGCCAACGTGGTCACGTCGACGTCTTCCTGAGCTGTACACTGTCCTTGAAACAGGTCCAACGTATTCAAATCAATGGTGATGATCTTACTAAGCTGGCTGAATCCCTGGTCTGATTTCAGAAACGCATCGGGAGGCAACAGTCTCACCAACAGCAAAACGAGGGCGAAAGTGGCGTGCTGGAAACTGCGAGGTTTGTTCTGGGTATCGGGACCACATAAATTCACCGTAAGCATCACCAATTGCTCGGTAAACTCCGGGGTATGGCTGCGGTCAAGGTTCCAGCTGTGGTCAAATAAGAACTGGATAATCGCCAATACGTAGGTGGTGACGTCCTGAGGTAAAGGCAGGTGGCGGAGAAGCCCACTAAGAGGAAAGAAAACGTAGTCCGCCAAGTTTCGAGCGAGAATATACCCTTGGTTCTTGTGCTGCTGATGGTGGTCCTGGAGGATGTGGAGCAATTGGGAGAGGAGCTGGCCGATCCGCTGGAAGTTTGGTTGCGGTTGAGCCACCTCCTGGGACAACTCAACGCATGTGGGCTTGCATTGAGCGAAGAGCTCCAGCGATAGCAGCTTCACGTCCATAGCACTTACGGAGCGTACGGTACTATAGTTGATGCCACTGAGGGGAGTGGTTATGTAAGCTCTTATGTAACCGAAGCGCGTTCTCAGCGTTCATCACTATCTTACTACTCTCCGCAAACAACAATCATGTCTACCGCTAAACCGCGAGGGGTATTGGTGGGACGTACCAATACTCGTGACGTGCTGTTTAAGCTGCGGTTGCGCTACGCTTACGGTTGCGATCCCGAGTACTACGATGAAGTATTGGCGTATAAAGGCCGATTTGAGCTGTGCATCGCCATCCCCCCCGTGGCGGCAGTGGAGAAGTTTTTAAGCCCCGAGCCGCTTCCAGACGCCGACTTCTTCCCTGATAGTGAGTTTACAGAGGGAGTACGCGACCAATTGCTTGCGGAATGGCCATTGCTGTTCACCGCTGAACGCGACGATAACACCGCCAAAGTCGACCTCACCAACGGCGACCTGGCTCTGATGGACGTGTTTGGCCGGGTGGGAGCCATTGCCGACGTTGGTGGATCGATTGTTGCCCTCAGATGGCTCCCGACGCTGGAACCGGCCGAGTATGAGTACGTGGCGTTATCAGTGGTCCACGCGCCCATCGCCGAAAGTCTTAACCACGAACGGCTCGGGTTGTTTAACCAGGAGATGGACGATAGTCTCGCGACGCTGATCCAAGTGTGGAGATACCGTGACGGCGAGTTAACTCGTCATTTGCTTATCGACACTACTGGAGTAGTAGGGGTCACTAACTACTTGGAATGGCTTCCGCTATCGGTGCCAGGGTGTCTAGGGGTGGTATGTGGCTGTTTCAACGACGGGAATTGGCACGCGATCAAGATTAGTCGTGATTACGGCCAGGTATCGTTGACTAAACTGCTGATGACAATTACGGTGCCAGACACTACCATCACCTCGTTCAGCTTCCGCAACTCGAGCCACGTGATTGTCGGCACTGCCACCGGCCACATTGCTCAGTTTGAAGTGCCCGCTCCTGTGGATAGTGATGGGGTTACCGAGCCGCAATGGATGGTCCACTTGTTCAAAACCGCCATCGATTCGCTTTTGGTTAATGCTAGTGAGCCTGGAAAGGACGTGGTGGTGGCTAATTCACTGGGGCTGACTATGTGCGCGGTTGAGCTTGATAACTATGTCGTGGGCCAGCTGACGGCGTTTGCTCCTAAAACGTGGCTTCGCCCGCTGTATAACCCGAAGCTTAGACTTTACTTGGTGGCCCTGGCGCTCGACACGTTGTCGTATATGTTTTTGAGAGCCCCCACCGAGCTGATTAACCTGTTGGTGCGACCAGCAGCCGACATCACTACGTTTTCGGCTCTGGAGCGTTTAGGCCACCCGTTGGCGATAGTGGGCACTCTGGCAGGCGATTTCTTCGTCGTCAACTACGTGAGAAAGTTCTTAAACGGGGTGAAGCTGTCTAATAAAGTGATTGTCCCCATTCAGCTATGGAAAGTGACCTATATCAACCGTGAGCTTAAAATTAACGGCGACTTCTTCCAATTGCCCAACGAAGCCAATAACCAGTGCCTGGTGACTCCTGCGGAGATTTCATTCACCGCTAGCGGCTGGAACGAGAATCCGGCCACGGCCCACATCTATGCCGCCGGTAACGTGGCTGGTCTTTTGTTTGTCGAGCTGCTTGCTCAGTAATCAACGACGTCACCATAAGTTTGACGCCACCGCTTGAGGCCGCCAATGACGTCAACGGCATCGGTGTACCCCCAATCGCGAAGCTTTTGCACAGCTATCTGGGAATCGTTACCAAACCGACACACCACCGTGATCGGAGCACTGTGGTCAAGCTGTAAATTGTCCACATTGGCTTGGCTAAGGTCAGTGATGGGCACGTTAATCGCTCCGTCAATCTTAGTGATATCAAACTGTTCCTTTGGCCTAACATCGATGATGACGCTTTCTTTGTTGAACTGGTTCGCGTTGATTCTCATATCGGCAGGAAGCGGGTCGAAGGTGACGCGTCCACAGTATGCGACATAATCGATCTCTCCCGCCTCAATCGATTGTCTGGTGATGGTGGCCTGAGCCAGACACACGGCGCAGTCAGGCTTTCGCGGTCTCATCTTGAAATGTCTCAATTGCTGGAACGGATAAGCGGAGTATGCGGCCAAAAATGGTTTGAAATTGTCAGCGGTATAGTATCCCGTGATAACTTTGATGGCTTCGGTAGCCATGGCGGTACCAACAAGGCCGATCACAGGCCCGATGACACCGCCATCGCTACACGACGTCACTGAATCGGGAGGCGGCGGCTTGGGGTGGAAACACCGGTAGCAGGGACCCGTGTTGTTGAAATTAAGCACCGTGAATTGACCCTCGGTCTTCAAACCGGAACCCAGCACTAACGGTTTGCCTAAAAGTACCGCTACATCGTTAATCAAATAACGGGTCGCCGGAGTATCGGTACAGTCCAAGATGACGTCATAGCCACTAAATAGGTTAAATGCATTGGTAGCCGAAAGGCGAAACGGGTAGATCTCCGTAGCCACGTGAGGGTTCAAACGGTCGACGAACTGCTGGGCCAGCTCGCTCTTTAGTTGGCCAGCGGTAGTATGGAGGATTTGCCGATGGAGGTTTGACTCGTCCACAGTGTCGCCATCAATAATACCAAGCTTTCCCACACCGGCACCAGCAAGGTAGGCGATCGCAGGACACCCTAACCCGCCAGCACCCACCACGAGCACTTTAGTGTGGCGTAAACGGAGTTGTCCCTGTAAGGAATGGAAATGAGGGGTGATCATCTGGCGACCATAGCGGAGGTATTCCTCAGCACAGAGTTCAGTTTGAGGAGTGGATGAACTCTCAGTGTGGGTACCATTAGTTTGCGATTGTTGTTGAGCCGCTAGCTGTTGCTTTAGGCGTTGGTTCTCCTCTCGGAGTCGGGTAAGCTCATCCATGGTCAGGTGCGAAAGCGAGATGGGAACTTAACAAACCCCGAACATCACTTAAAGAATAAGCCTTGACAAGTAGCAAGAAACTATACCGAATACGCGTCTTTGTTTGAGTTTAATTTAAAACATAAAGATGACTATCTTCCTACTACTATAGTTCATTTCAACAGTTAGCATTTAATGAAGATCGATAGGGATGATCATGAGAGCACTAATGTTATTCCCTCAAGTTGAGAGATTCTCCCTTTCCGGACAAACGTTACTATATCACGAATCCACTAGATTACCATTCATTATTCTATACGATCTTTTGCTTGACGAAGAACGACTTCAAGTGTCTCAACTGGTAGACACAGGTGCCGACCAACACAATCAACTGGATGATCGACCACTTCACCACCCGGGCGTTGGTCAGCTCCGACTGGTCGCGGAAGGTGGCCTCGCGGATGCGCAAGTTTTCTTGTTCGTTGTGGATCTCGGTCAACTTCTGGTTGAGCGCCTTGATACGCGTGGTCAAGTCGTCGACCTTCTTCGTCCCCTTGGAGTCGACAAAGTCGTGCGCCGACCCTTGCGCCAAGTCAAAGAACACCTTGTGGCGCTTGTTGTTGGTGCCGTCAGTGTATTCAGGGGTGATACAGATCAGGTGTTCCCCCAGGTCCTGGGTGGTGAAAGTGAACTCACCGGAAGACGACAGCTTCTGGTCCAACACCCGGTGGTCATTGTCAAAAGTTTCGTCGACGGTGACCTTGACCTTCAAGTTGCCGTTGTGGCGGTAGTCGTTGGTGCCGTCGACGCGCTCGGTGGCCTCAATGCGGCCAACAAGCAAGGTGTCGGCCTGGAGCTCCTCGTAGAAGCACCGGGACTCGCCGGTGTTCAAGTAGAAGTGGAGCGCCAGGGCCAAATGGACAAACACAAGCGTCAACAACCAGTTCATGGTGGGTGAAAAGTTTACGCGTGGCCGGTTCTGATCGAGGAAAAAAGTCTCGCGTGCGTGGCGCTATCGACACTGCCGCGCGTCGGAGGTGTCGGGAGACACGAGACGGCGACGGAAATTTCACGAAGTGAAAATGTATTACTGGTGATAATTAGCCGTCATTTTGGGTGATGAAAAGTCACTATCACCAAAGGTGAAGTTAAGTATATGTTTTGACCTAGAATTAGTAATTCATATCGACATTATTCTGTGATTACACTCCTAATCAGCCATACTTGTGTGCGAAAAGTCCTGTATATCTCCTATATCAAAAGTCCTCAGTCCTTATAATCAATCTCTTATAATAACTTATCCTTTGTTTATAGTTTATACGGCAGAGAGGGCAAATCATTGATTTTCAACTTGTCAACATTACCTTAATTGTCGTCATCTCGGCTGTCGCCACCGCGTCAGGGGCACACCGCCACCCCCGTGGGGACAACGTGTACTACGTCGAGTCTACGCTGGCCCTAACCAATTAGCGTTCTATAGTTTCCTTCGTTTTCAAATCGATAAAGAATTAAGCTTTTCGGGGTTACCGGTCCCCTAAAGACGTCTCTTCGCTACGAGTCACCGGTGAGTCGCACCCGCACTCAATTAAAAATTTTCATCGCAGACCCTCAGTAACAGCGCCCACTAAGCACCATGAGCTCGAGCCACTGCCGATTTTATGAGAACAAGTACCCCGAAGTCGACGAGGTGGTGATGGTGAACGTCCAGGAGATCGCCGAGATGGGGGCGTACGTCAAATTGTTGGAGTACGACAACATTGAGGGGATGGTGTTGTTGTCGGAATTGCTGAGAAGACGGATCCGGTCGATCCAGAAGTTGATCCGGGTGGGTAAGAACGAAGTCGCCGTCGTGTTGCGTGTCGACAAGGAAAAGGGTTACATCGATTTGCTGAAGCGCCGGGTGTCGCAAGAAGACATCGTCAAGTGCGATGAGCGCTACAACAAGCTGAAGGCGGTCCACCTGATCTTGCGCCACTGCGCCGAAAAGTTCGGCTTGCCCCTCGAGGAGTTGTATCAGACCATCGGCTGGCCGTTGAACCGCAAGTACGGCCACGCCTACGACGCGTTCAAGTTGCTGATCACCGAACCCCTGGTGTTCGACGACATCAAGCCGACTTCGGAAGACGTGCTCAACGAGCTTAAATTGTACATTCTGCGTCGTTTGACTCCTCAAGCGATCAAGGTCAGAGCCGACGTCGAAGTGCTGTGCTTCTCCTACGAAGGGATCGACGCCATCAAGCGGGCGTTGAAGGCGGCGGAAGCGGTGTCGACCGAGACGATGCAGGTGAAGGCGAAGCTCTCGGCGGCGCCTCTTTACGTGATCTCGGTCCAGGCGTTGGACAAGAACCAAGGGGTGGCGTTGTTGGAGAAGGCTATCACCGCCGTCACCGAGGAAATCACCGCCGCTGGTGGTGAAGTGAAGGTGATCATGGAACCTAAGGCGGTCACTGCCAACGAAGACGCGCAATTGCAAGCGTTGTTGGAGCAGAAGGCCGAGGACGACAAGTCCGATGACGAATCTGACGACGAATAATTCTTAAGGGGATGATGACAAAAAGAGTGGGTATTTACTGTATATTAGTCCGGACCCGCCAGGGCCCAAAGTAATCCAAATGCATAGGTTAAAACGGCTGCAGCTGGCGCAATAGCAACTGTTTTTGGTTGATCCGATCAATGACGTAGGGTGGGAGATGGCTAAGAAGCTCGGGGGCTAACCTAAGCTCGGTGACCAGTTCGGGGAGCACAAAATGGTCAAACGTAAGCATCGGGTTACCCGCCAAGTCCAAGAGTTTCATCTGGGGTAAACGCGTGCCTCGCAAGGTGTGGAGGCCATTATAGCACGCCAGAAACAGGACTAGGCCTGGAGGAAGATCGACCAGATCTAGCTGGCTGATGGCGTGGTAGCCGAGGCGGAGCACTCGAAGATTATGTGGGAGCATCACGTCTTTAATCAGAGTTAATTGGCGCTTGGCAAAGTCGTCGTCAATGCCGATTAAGTCTGGGTCCATCTCCATATCAAGGACTTCGAGCGACGCCGGGAAGTGGACGTTTTTGAGGGTGGTGATGAGGTTATTGCCGAGGTAGAGCTCGCGGAGATTAGGCGGGAACAGCACCTTGTTGAGGGTCTTGATGGCGTTGTTGTTCAAATAGAGCACTTTGAGGGTCAGCGGGAGCCGTAGCGGGTTGATGGAGGTGATGTTATTATCGCAGAGACAAAGCTGAGTGAGCATCGGTGGGAGTTTAAGGCCTCTAGTAGTGGTCATCAGCGCCTGGAGATTCAAATTAGTCACTGAGTCGGGGAATCTGATGCCTGCCATCGACTCGTTGGGGATGTTGGACACGTCGAGGTACCGGAGCCCTTCGGGGAACCGCACCCCTTTTAGCAGTTCGATGGGGTTAAACGCGAGGTTCAACAGCACAAGCGTGGCGGGGAAGTTGACTCCCTTGAGGGTGTCGATGCGGTTCTGCAGCACGTCCAAGTGCTCGAGAAACGGGGGGAAGCTCACGTAGCTGAGGAAGTAGATCTTGTTGTCCAGCAACTCCAATCTACGCAACGTCAGCGGAAACAGCACCTCGTCGATGGCGTGCAATGCGTTCTGCAGAGCTATGAGCACTCGGAGGCGGGGGATATGGAACCCTCCTAAGGTCTCGAGCGCATAGCCACCACCGATATTAAGCACTTCCATGGTATCAGCGAGCGAGATCAGCGTGGGGAGAAAGCGGAAACTCAGTACCCCGTAGTCTAAGATCTTCAAATGCCGCCATCTGACCACATCATCACATATCTCCTGGGCAAGCTTATCGATCTCGGCCGGGTCGGTGATGGCCACCGTGGTCTCGATATCGTACTTCTGGATGATCAGCACGTGTCTCACTTTGGCTTCGCCCACATAGCGCTCAACAGCATTCATAAACTCGGTGTACACCAGTTTTTCCTCCGTGGTATAGTCAATCCACTTGTGGTGAGGCAGCCAGTGGATATGGTAGGTGACCTCGCCAATGCGGTCTAGCACCTCTGGTTCTCGGCTGAGCCAGCTTATTAGAGCTCGCATCAGTTCGGTGAACAGGTCGTCGACGTACTCGAGGCAGAACAGGAGCAGCGTGTCGGTTTCCGCTTCCGTCAACGAATTGAGATTGGCGACGTCAACGATGTCGACGTTCTCCTTCGCCTGGAGATCGGAGAGGAACATGATCAGGTGGAAGTATTTGAGCGGTCCAAACTCGACCACGATGCGGCGGTGGCGATTGCCTGGGGGCACAGGGTAGGTCATCGTGGTGTCGGCTGGTCGCGATGACCTGCAGGTATACTAAAGATGGTTGATATCGTTGGTGTTCGAGTTTTCGGTATTCGACATGCTCGAGCAATATAATTGCTCTTAAAGTTGTCAGTAGCTCAAAGAGATGGTTTAGTTGTAAAAACGAAGAGCTTAGGAAATTCTGTGTGGGTGGTGTTGTTTTGATTGCTAGAGGGACTGAGCCACGAGGGTAGTGCGATCAAAACAATCACTAACCACCTAAGTGAAAAAACAATTTTTAAATGTAGTCTGCTTTGAGAGGCGGAATAATCGACTCAAATGATGCAATATTGACTGCTCTCCGGAATTGGAAGCTTTCGCAACTGATTTGAGAGCTTGAGTTCGAATATCGTGTAGAAAACCAATTTCTGGACAGCTTGGATATCACGTTTGAAAGACGGCCATTTCTAAGAAAAAATAGACCCGGCCGGTAGTCCTTAATCAAAGAAATAGAAGGAGCGATGGAAGTACCCCTTGGCGTTCGTTGCGATTCATTGCTGCGTGGCAAAACAAAGGATTCCCAAACTTAATTCGTACGACCGAGTGACGTCAAGTAAGACGCCCGCCTCTTGGTTCTAGCGCTGGCACGGGGCATAAACTGTGGCTGGGTGGTTACGTCCCCACTCGCAACATGCACCGACCCCACACCCAGTGGGGCAGGTTCCCCACTCGCTATGAGGAGAACCTCAGACAGGATGGAGAAAGGCGGAGCTGCTGCTATCGGTAAAAAGGAACTGACGACCAGGCTTAGTCTCTGGATTTCTTAGCCATCGTATTTGGCGTGCCTAAACACATACCCCACGTTTTTACTCTACGATTTAGTCGTGGCAGAGATGGTCACATTCCATATTATCGTCTGATTATCCTAAATTTTGTGGTGACCTCTCAGAATAATTTTTTCAGGTATCTTCGGCGATTGTTCGTTATCCCCGTAGCCTGACTTTTTACTTTTATTTTTTTTTTCCCCGTCAGGAGTCAAGGCCGGCCCTAACGAACAATGCTTAACTCAGACCTTCGGTGAACACCAGTCGGCTTTACGAGCCGCAGCACGAGTCACTCCCTGAGTATATAGCCTGATTCGAAGCGAGAGTACCAGGCATACACGCCAACGTTTACCAATGCCGCTATGGTAATGATTTCGGACTGACGTATCTACTCGTCATGGTGCCGTTGCTCTAGGTCTCGGGGTTTACAACCGTTGACGCGTGGAAGGTCTTCGATGAGCACATACCATCTTACACTTTCAGATGATAATCCACAGCAGCCACGTTGCAGGCGACTGGCGCCCAACAGAGGTAAGCGTACAGCGGGGTATGCTAGGGTGAAGTTTGTTCAGCCACGGCTACAGCGACGTGGAGAAGACAATGATGTACCCAACCCCCCTTGTACCTATAGGGTTCGATGCATACGACGGTTTAGACTGCAGCCCCGACGCAATCAAACATCAAGGCTCAGGCTATGGATCAGTACTCAGAAGAGGCTTTATCGTCCTTAAAGATTTCTCGAACAGGTCTGTAATAAGTTTCATCACCGTACTAATGAAGAATCGGTTGTGAGGGAAAAACTTTTATATCGATGGTCGCGATGGCGCCTGCACATAGTCATTCCCATGGGCGGGTAAATCGCGAACTCAACTGCTATCTCATTAACCAAGTGGGTGCAACCCTAATCACGACCAATAGTGATATTGTTGAGTTTGCCAATGGGATTGTCGATTGGTCTTGGGGACCACTTGTCTGGAGGGGAAGCAAACTTAGCTAAGCGCGGGTAACTAGGCAGTATTCGAATCACGACTACTTGTGACGGCACAAGCCACCCCTAGAGGATGCGGAGACCATCCACTGATCCGTGTTTGTGCTAACAATGATAATTCCACCACAGAGATTCTTCCGCATGAAAGCCTTGGCAATTAATCGTGGTGCAATTGTTGTTGCCAGCAGCCAGTGCCACCACGGTTTTACTCCCTTTCGCGTGCTGTGGCTCCAAAGCATGGTCCCCACGGAACGCCGATGGTCACAGCTATAGCTGTTGTTGATGGTCAGCGCTCAACGGAGTCCCGCAGACTGATGCCTGTATGCTTCCCAGACGACATACTCTATCAGATGCGGAGACGTTGCGCACTCCGACGACTTTCCGGTTCCCCACTTGCCCCACTGCCACAGTGTTTCCCCGGCTATCGCACCAAATTTTTTTTGGGGTGCCGGATGTCGGGTTATGTGCCCATGCTCAGGGCTGTAATTAAATGCAATCAAGGTACTACTCCGAGACGCTGTTAGCTAGACCGCTTGGATTTATGGATATAGTACCACCACCATGTTCCTCAGACGATGCTGACGATGATGGTGTTGGTCCGGTGTGTCCGCGGTTCCTGGTGGTGAAGAAAATGCGGTTCTCCACATTTTCACTCTGGTTATGCATAAAGTAATACGCCTTCGCTTGCTGCAAAAAGATGGGGAATCTGCAACCCCACAAAGTGCTCACCGATTTGGATACGTATATCGGGCGTTACCCCATCTGCCTCGTGTCCAGAGCTATATAACGTACCTCATTTCCAACATCGAGAATTATTATCTCCAAAATGAGCAGCGACTCCAGCGAAAAGATCGAGCTGTCGAGCATCAACTCGATCCCCGTGCTGAAGGTGGAGTTGTGCGGTGATAACAACCAGTACATCATCATTGGCGGCAAAAAGTACCACCGCGAGGACCTCAATCGCGCCTTTGGTGGTACGTTCCAGGTCGAGCGCTACGCCCCTCCTCCTAAGCACGAGTTTGCCAACCCGTCGCCCCTCGGGTTGGCGGCGTTCGGGATCACCACCCTCGTACTTGGTCTCTACTACGCTGGTGCTAAGAGTATCACGGTGCCCGCCGTCATCACCGGGATGGCGGCGTTTTTCGCGTCGTCGGGCTTGTTCTTGGCTGGCGTGTGGGAAATGGTTTTGGGTAACACTTTTGCCTCTACCACTTTCTGCTCGTTTGGCGCCTTCTGGTGGGCGTTCATGACGCTTTCGGTGCCGTCTTTCGGCATTGGTGCAGCCTATAAGGGCGAGGAAGAACAATTGGAGAACGCCATCGGGTTCTTTTTGTTGGGCTGGGTGATCTTTATTTTCATCCTTGTCTTGTGCACCCTCAAATCGACGTGGGTGTTCTTCGGTACGTTCTTCCTCCTTTGGATCACGTTCATTCTTCTCTCAGCAGCGGAAATGTCAGGCAAGCACGGCGTCCATGTCGCTGGTGGTGTGGTGGCGGTGATCACGGCGTTGTTCTCGTTGTACTTATGCTTCGCCGGTATCGCTAATAAGGGCAATTCGTACATTGTGCCTCATGCCTTCCCTATGCCGGTGCCCAAAAAGAACCGCTGGCTCACCGTTTAATGGTGATTTGAACCGGTTTTTTATTTTTTAATTCTTCTTTACAGACCTAATTTTCCTTTGATAGTTTTTTTTTATATATTATTTGGCATCAATAACACATATTTATGAGTGACGCAAAGTACCTAGTAGTATGCATATAACGAGAGGGGAAGCGAATCATTACGTCAAACATGCTTGCGAACAAATTAATATCCGTTAACCTATATGATGCCAAATAAACTAAAATGATGTCAACAACAAAAGTTAAAAAAAAAAAGGATAAACTAGGTCTGGTGGAAGTCACCTTAGTAAGGGTGGATCTTCTTGGGGTGACGTTCACGGTGCTTTTCCTTCATCAAGTGCAACAAGTGTGGGTCCTCTTCTCTGGGCTTAGTGCCGTAAAGGGGGATCAACATCGGGTCGGGGACAAAGTAGGCTTCCGTCTTGTACGCCATAGCAGCGTACATGACGCCAAACCCAGTGACACCGGTGATAATACTGAAGACACCGCCAACAATCTCGTAGGTGTGGCTGTTCTTGAAGCTGCCAACGGCGAGAAAGATAAACGCAAACATAATCAGACCGAAAAGAAGAATGTAGGCAAAGGTGGCCCGGAGCACAAGCGTCAAGTTCATGAACGAGTACATCGCCCAGGCGACCAAGAAAAAGCCCTTGGCACTGGGAAGTTGGGTGGGGTCCTGGGCCATGTAGGCGGCAACAATGCCAAGCGACGGGGTGTAAAGGGCGCCGTACGACAACCAGAACGCGCCGTAGCTGACCAACGACGTTCCGACAAAGGTGAGACCGCCAGCGGCAAACTCCCAGATGCCAGCGATGAAGAGTCCCATGCCACCAGCAAAGTACGCCACCAGCATCATCAACTGGTGTTGAGTAACCCCCAAGGCGTTGCAGTTGAACAACCCCGACACGAGAGCGGTGATGCCAAAGGTGCCCATGCCAAAGGCCACAGCGCCGTTGCCGAATCTGGGAGGGGCAACGGTGGGCTTGTGGGCGTCCTCGTGGATGCGGTCGCCTTGGTAGGCGTCCACCAACATCCGCTGGATGTCCAGGCGGTAGAACTTTTGGTTGCCCAAGTAGACGAAGTCCTGGTCCGCGGTAACCCGGGACATTTGAGGTCCAAAGCGGGAAGCGTCTTTGGACAGACCTTCAGGGGATGAGTACAGCTCCATAGATGATTGCTGTGTGTGGATCCTCAACGAGTCATATATAGCAGCCCCTTGAAACCTATAGCTTCCTCGCCTTCACCAAATGGAACCATCAGAAAATAAAGTCCACCGATCTCCACAATATGGGGAGATCTTGAGAGCAAGCATTGTCACCAACCAATGTGGTATACCGCCGGCACTCGGGAGACAAATTACCGTAATTACAGTCACCGCTTCGACAAGGTACCCCTCGTCAAAATCTCTCTAAAGTGAAAATGGGCCAATACGTGAGTGCGACCTGCGACTACCACATTCTGATAACTCACACGCCTCTATGCATTGAAATTCGTGGACTTGAAAATGCCTTACGTGATTCGATTTAATGGCAAAACCCATCGTCGCTGGTTAATACCTTGAAATTGCTCGTGACTGGACTTTACACTTAAGACGAAAACCAGGGCTAAGTGCAATTGAAAATCTAGAACACCTGCAAAAAAGTGTAGTTCATGAACTCCTTAATCTTGTCGCTATTCTCTGATTGTACCCAATTCCGCTTTCATATCGTTTAAACTCTCCACGAGCCAGTCGATGTCGGCGAAATCTGAACGAAAAAGCTCCAGCTTTTGAGCACCAGTCAAAGCTTCTGGCCCTCCTTCCTCATCAACTAAGTAAAATAAAAGGAACTCAATCACCTTATAGTTCAAATTTTGCTGATCTTGTCGATCAAGGTCAAATCTCTTGATGAGGGCACTGCACCCTCCAGCGGACTCAAACATGCGGAAATTTTGAAGGTCATTGATCATAACGTGGATAAGAGTGATGATTGTTGATTTCGCCACCTCCATATCCTCATGGCCAAGGTATTTGATGATGGACGCCATATTGCGCTGACGATGGAACACCACTCTCAGCGCTGGATGAATCATAAGGAGACCTTGAAGTACGCGATTGGCTACCAAGACCTGCTCGGCATTCCACTCATCGTTTCGATAGACTTCGACTAAGGCGTTGGTCAAGTTGGTTCTGAAGTCATCTTGGAGATCGAGGAAGAGCTGGAGCTCAGGGGAGACGTAGCGGCTCACGTGAAGCTTTTCAATTGATGGCAAAAGCTTCGCAAGCAACTCATCTATCTTCGTTACCGTCGAAGCATCCTCGTCTAGCCTTTCGATAAGCTGAAGTATCTGGCTATCCATATCGGCTTGTTATGAGTCGCGAACTAGGTGGCATTGGTGTATACTATATGCAGGTACATACTTAACGCCGTTGGAGGACTTAGATGACTTGTGACACCAATTTGACGCCAGTCATGGAGATAATGTGGTATCTGTGTACTATCGGGGTACAAGCTGATTGTTGGATAATTTGCGAGTATAATTTTGCCAAAATATCTCAGATTTCAACGAAACAATCACAGCATAGAAGTTGACTGAAAGGGTATGTTCATTCAAGGGCAATTGTTGCAAGGTCCTTTATGATTGAAAGTTACAAACGGTCTGAAAGAAGCGTTCGGGATGGTTGTAGAATTTTTTTAATCAGTTTCCGTTGGGTGCAGCGCATAATTTCAATACAGTGCATCAAGTATATGGCGAAAGTTGTTGATGTGTGAATAAAAACTTGATAATAGTTATCCAAAGTTTTCATTTTGATTGTAAAAGGCCAATTTATTTTTCACACCTCTTTCAGGTACCATTTGTGAGTGAAAGCCTTTTTGGAATTTGTCGGCAAACTCCAGAATCTATCAACCATCTCCAAATTTTAATCCCACAGGCACTCCGATGCTCACAATAACTCTCATAGATACAATGTGACTTAACTTTCAATTTTCAGAGGTCTTCCCAGGAGTCTACAGACTCTTTTGTTCTCACAACTTGAGTTCACCTTCATTATGCATCAGATCTTGCAAATAAAAATTCCAATCTTCAATCATCGTTAATTTAGCACAGTATAAATAGATCTTTCAACTTTTATTCTCAACTTTTCCCACTGAAACTGAAAACAGCTTATTGAATGAGTTCATCGAGAGCCTTTCTCAAAAGTATGCAATAAAAAAAAGGGAGACTGACCGAGTTTAATACTCTTGTATTATTTTAGGACTTAAGAAACTTCCCACGTCTTCAGGTTGATAATAAAACCATCAAATCATGACTTCATTTAGGAGCATTGTATGATTAGAGCCTCACTGAACCTTGGGAAATCAAATTATTATGGACATGAACGGCTGGTACTTCTGATACTATAATTGACGTTTCGGTTTTACATACCTTCTACTTAGAGGTCTCAATCGTTACCGGTGTATGTCTGGTGATAACGCACTACTCTCCCCTCAAACTTCATCTTTGTTTTTTACCCTGGGAATCCGTAAAACCACCGGTCCAAAAATTGAAAATTTAGTTACACACTTTAAAGAGTGATGTCTTGAAACACTACGGACCTAAATCATCACATTCATGAGTCTGATGGCTGGCAGGATCGATCCCTCTCCGCCTATGACGCATGCAACCACATGCATAAGCCAACAACAGCTTTCGGCGATAAGCTTCACGCGTCGTTTAACGATCATGCCCCACACTTTCCCGATCAAAATGTGTCTAATTCCTTAGTTGTAAACTCCGTATCAAATAGCCTAAAGACAATGGCGGAAGCTTGGGGGAACAATGCCCATACCTTATTTCTCCACAATATAGAGCTGCTATACCCGCATGTACGGTCACAATGCCCCTTCGGTCCACAAACACCGCGTGTATTAATATTCCCATGCAATTCTATAGAAAATCCCTTACAGCGAACTTTCACAAACTCAAAAAGTGCGGACACCTAAAGAGATCAAATTGCTTAAATTTCACATTAGAATTGTTTATTCTTTATAGTTATACTTGCTCAATTCTCTTGCAAAAAAAAGGGAACAGCAACTCTGCTATCGTCATAGAAACCCGAAGCATACCAAAACGGTTGCTCGGGATTTAGGGCTTTAGCGCAAATTTCCGTGAGACCTCGTTCCTTCCCTTGTACTCGCACAATAACCCCATTGGGAAGGCTCTGCGTCTAACGCCGAACGAGCACTAACCTAAAAAAATATATGGCAAGCACCAGCAGGACGCACGGTGCACCATGTATCTAGAGAAACTCACAGAAAAATCGAACGGTGCTGTTCGATATATCAGGATAATATCAATATAACGTTAAGAAGGCCCACGGGATGTAGATTTTTCTGATATTCATCGGCCCAGCTCCTAACACATAGGCGTGTATTCGGCTTTAACGCAGGGGCCCACTACCCCTCTCCCCCGTCGGCGTAAAGCCGCACAGTTCCAGGAAACTCCCAACAGCCTTTGACAACACAGAGGCGGAGCTCCCGCCCCCGCGGGGTGAGGCACTTGTGACCCCGGATTTTGATCTGCGGTTGCTTTCTTTTCTTCAAGTCAAGAGCTTCCTTGTCACCTGCCATACGAGCTCGGCGATGACGACGACCACACCAAGTGTCTGGTTTGATGGATAATACCTTGCCATACTGACTTATTGAGCTTCTATTTCTATCAAGTAGCTATTAACGCCGGTGTGGACGTCCCCCCCACCCTCAACAATCACCCAATTTCCCCGTATATATGTATGTGTCAGTGGCTGCATAACCCGCCTTACCCCGGCCGAAAATGATGGACTTTAGGCAGCAGCATTGATTGAAACAATACCCACCCCACCCTGCAAACATATATAAATCTCTGCTTATTTCCTTCTGCCAGAAAAAAAAAATTCAGTTTCACTAGATGTCTCTGTCTTCGGAGTCCATCATCAAGGAGACAACCGGCACTTACTCTCTCGACCAGCCGTGCTCGCGGGTCGAGGTGTGCGGTGAATCCGGAGAGTTTGTCATTTTGGGGGGCAGAAAGTATCACCGTGAAGATTTGACCCGGGCATTTGCCGGTACGTTCCAAGTTGAACGGTACCTGACTGGTCCCACTCATAGCTTCGCCAACCCGGCTCCTGTGGGGCTTGCTGGTTTCGGCTTGACCACGGTTGTGTTGGGGCTTTTCATTGCCAATGCTAAGCACATTCACCAACCCCAATTGATCGTGGGGTGCTGCATGTTTGCTGGTGGGGTGCTTTTGTTTTTGTCAGGGACGTGGGAGTTGGTGATGGGTAACACTTTTGGTGGCACCGCCTTTGTGTCGTATGGCACCTTTTGGTTCTCGTTTGGGGCGATTACCATTCCAGGCTTCGGCATTGCTGAGGCCTATGGCGAAGACGCTGATCAGCTTAACCAAGCCATCGGCCATTGGCTTCTTGGTTGGGTGATATTTACTTTGATTTGCTGGGCATTTACTCTCAAGGCAACCTGGGCATTCTTTATCACTTTCACCTTTTTGGAAGCAACATTTGTGGTGTTGATGGCAGCTTACTACAGTGGTCTGGCTAATGTGATGAAAGGTGGTGGGATCTTGGCAGTGATCACCGGGTTCATGGGATGGTTCTGTGGCTACGCAGGTATTGCCAACCGCTCGAACACTTACTCTTTCTTCATTCCTCCTTCGTTGCCGATGCCTTTGATTGGCAAGAAGGGCTAGAGGGCTGGACCCATTCGACCTAATTCATATTTTATTTTAGTTTTTTTATACGATAGTTTTCAATACAGGGCACAATGCATATGACGTTAACGTCGCCCAAACGTTATTTCCCCTTCGGTACCACATGTACGGTGGCTATAAGAGGTGTGGCTGGCACGTGCCTTAGCGCCTGTAAATGTCACCAGGACTTTTATGCCTCAATAATAAGTGAGACCTATAATTGTACACGGCTGAGCGGTTGACCACTTCATTTCGTGTTAAGCTACTATCTTACTAGCACAGTTGGGTATCATTCTGTGGAAGCCTGTGATGCTGTCGATCGGAGTTTCGTAGCGAACATGACCTTTGGCTTCGTTCAAATATGGTGGTGTGGACATGCTTCAATGTGTTCCCTGAAATTTTGTGTGCGTGACGAACCCCTTTTCGCCATTAACCTAAGCGCGCAACTTTTTTCGCAGCTGATGTCCCCTGACGAACACTTGACGTCAACTAGTGTCGACATCATCCGCGAAAAATACGATAATGCGTTCTGATTGGTTCCATGGTGACTTCAACACACCATACCGATGATCAAGTAGTCATCCGTATTCGTTGTATTCGAAATAGCGCCTCCTACTATTACGTCATCCGGTCGGTTGACGTGTGTCGGTAATATTAACCTCGAACCTTAAATTCCTCATTGCTACGAGAATTCCTAGTCAAACTCGATCATTCGACTTGGACGAAGGTTCAGGTTCCATTATTTGACGTGCTCCTCGATCGAGGCGGTGGAAACACAGGTCTCGAGATGATCAGCCAACAATACCGATGCCAGCTAGATCGCGCCGACATCGTGTCTTTGTTGACTTGCATGTGTTTTATTACCGACTTTGTGTCACCAAAATGCGATATTTCAATAACTCCGTGGTGACGTAATCGGGGTCAGTTGATGGAAGAACGTCGAAGTTATGGATCCCAACAGTCCGCCTGAGCTGTCGAAGCATACGGGGTAATCTCACAAAGATTATTCACAAAGATTATTCCAAGGCACTGCCAAGGCACTAGCGTTGTGAGTTTCCCCTGGGGTGCATCACAAATGTCTTCACATCCATATCGGCAGACATTAATTTTGTGGTTGCTTTACCGACGATGCTGACGCAAGGTCACAACTCCGCGATTGATTATGCTCACCTCCCACCTGAAGTGGCTTCCATACATGGAAATTACGTTAAGTGTAGATTGTTCTAACAACGCAAAAGGAGCATAGCTATTTTTAAATCACGTCTTGGAGTTCGTCAACTTTCCAGGACCGTCCCATGAGATTTACTACTTTTTGAACTTGATGATGAGACTGCTCAGTATAGAACAATGCTGAGCAGTGTCGAAAATGTCGGCGTTGATGGCTTACAATTGTCTGAATTTCAACCGTAAAGCGTAGTAGACGTCGGGGAAATGAGGTGTTCCCCGCAAGGCGATGCATACGTTGTCAGACATACCCGACTTTGTGTCACAAATTTTTCACATAAGTTGCGCACCATTATTGTTTGCGGCATTAAAATTTCAAAGCCTCTTCAGCTTCGACCGTAATTCGGTGAAAGTCTCAGAATCTAGCTTTCACTGATAATTGCCGGTCAGAATATAAATTTATGCATTCATCCACGCACCAAACCACTCAGTAGTGGGGTTAAATTTTTTAACACTGCTACTGAGTACCTGAACATGCTAGCCGTGTTTGGGGGGTGGATATCGCAAAATGTTCACCTTTATTCGGTTCTCCTCGGTTTGCAGACAGAGGCTTTTCAATTCCAACAACTTTGACTTCACTTTTATTTGCTTTTATTTTATTTTATTTAGTTATATTTTTGTAGACAACAATTGACAAACACTATATGTGAATAAAGGATCGAAAAGAATCATTGTAGACTTGCCTTGATGGCATATAGGCAACAGAGCAGGACAGGATGGCGTTTGAGAAAGTTTTACAGAATGGTCATTGGCGTTGCGTTATTGATAATGAAAACTAACATTTCAGAATTGATGAGGCTACGCCCTTGACAAGAGCTGATGTCAGCAATCGTTGCCAAGAATGCTATGATTTCAGGAACATCTTTCCTTTTCTGTTGAACAAATGCACACCATACGACACGGGGTACAGTCCTTGTCGACTATTCCATGCATCATCTATGGTATTCCTTGAAATTGGCAACGATCCCTTTTAGATGCTTGTGTGATCTGCCAACCTTTACATGGAAAACGTACCACACCACAGAAAATCTTGACTATTATGGTACAAAAAATGCACTCAAACTGGAATTTAACAAGACATCTGGGATTATAAGATGACTCGATGCGTAATTCTTCATAGTGGTCCATGCATGCGCTAGATTGAATTCTTTTGCGCGTAAAGTGGCCTATTCACCTACGATGGTTTCAAAAGATCACGTGTTTAGTGGAAAATTGCCTTTATGGCCAAGTGGTAAGGCACCTCACTAGTAATGAGGAGATCGTCAGTTCGAATCTGGCTGAAGGCATGTTTTTTGTATTTCACGTTCAACTTGTCCAATCTATAACACAGGCAATATTGCTTGGCTCATCTCAGTTTATTTTTTGTCGATTGCGTCACTCGCTACTTGATTTTTACGAACTATTACGCGTAATTGTGAAACTTTTGAAAAAAATGCAAGATTATGAAAGTAAAACGTCCACAATTTATTTGTCGGCGGGCTTGATTTTAGTGTTTGGTAGAGCTGAAGCGAGGCTTTGTTGCTGTGCTAAAACCACAACTCCCGATTATTGACTAACACACGAGATATTTTGCCGGTAGGCGAGATTCAACCTTAGCAACAAAAAGAGATTATGAAGGCGGTCATTTTTCCCTGCCGAACGCTTATACCATAAAAATCGCTGAGATGTTTACTTGTAAAAAGGTAAGCTGCATCAAAGGGGAATCGAACCCCTGGCTCCACCTTGGGAAAGTGAAATGTTACCACTACACC